AAAATTAATAAAATGAATTTCGATATTGCGTATAAAATCTACACAGATATTATTATAACTAATATATTATAATAACTGATATCGTAGGTTTTTCATTATTATCTTTTTCCATTATTACAGTTTACGCCACTAACTTTCTGGTTTAATTTTTAGGTATGCCAAGTAAATCAATGATGTTTAATAATATAGATGACGCGTAGCTTAAAGATTGTTCCGCTTTACATTATATGACATATTGTATAAGTGAATGTTACAGATGATATTTAACGTATGATTCGGAAAGAGATTGCAATATAATTAAAAGAATTGGTGTAATTCTAGGGGCTGCGTTTCGGCGCGCTAGTGTGATATCTACCTTGTATTTCTATATAAAATATCATTGACAATCTATATTTATCACAGCCTATGAATTATTTAAAAATATTAATAATTAATTAATTATAGTACATAATGCAGATAGTATTAAATATTCAGTAAATTATAAACGTTTCTCTATAATAATTTATATAGTAATATATATATTGTATAATATTTACAATTATTTAAAATATGTAAATTTTATGTAGTAATTAATAACTAGAACGATAACTGAAAATAATTATGATTTAAAAAATGTATATGACAATTTAAAAATTATATATTTTATAAACCAGGCGCATATTTTATATATGAAATATATAACATACCTAGTTGCGCGAATAAAACGGATCCAGCAGAATTCCACTCGATGGACTTGCTATTCAAAATCTCGACGTTAAAGTAGGTTTAGTTGATTTTGTTCCAGTAAATTTCATTTTCATATCATCTCAAAATGCTGCCGTCCTAGTACACGTGCGGATGAAAGTTATATTGCAGAACGTTGCGTTATGTTTTAGCGGTTTGCTCTGAACTGAATCAATTTCTTCTCCCAATAATTTGAGGGAAATTTATTTTGTTGCTTTAATTTTTAGTGTAACGAAATTATTTATTTATGCGAAATCTCTTGAAACACTTGAAACTCCAATAACTAATGACTTATTTTGACACTCGGCACATTCTCAGCTTCCTTATTTAACCATACAAAGAAGTTCATCACAATAAAAATACACAAAAAATTGCAGTTATTGAGTACGGCGGGCATTCGGTTATTATCAACCGATAAATGTTTAATGATGATAACGTATTATTTATGATAAATGTTTAATGATGATAACGTATTATTTATCATTCTAAATTTTAATACATCTTAATATTTAGATCCCAATGTATTCAGGGTATGCAATCAGTAAGGTCTCGATCATTGCAATGTATTAAAAGCTTGTTTTCGAGAAATTGAAATGGATTATCATAGACTTATTTTTAGTTATTTATTATTACCAACTGAATACGCATAGAACAGCGATATACAAATAGATTTAACTTAATAATAAAGTTGTGACAATATAGATAAAATATAGATAATATAGATTAAAGGTAAATACACTATAAAACAGATTGCTCACTTTTAATTTAATTTACAATTAACAATTATTTATGAAAAAGTTAACACATGCAAGTAAAGACGTTTAAAATAAATCATATTTCCGACAAACTAGTAATGAATGATATTGAACATATTTATTTTCATGAGGCATTCCTCGTCATTTAATGAATGGTAATGCATAGATAAATTAAACAATTATTTTAAAAGAGCACTTTTTTTTGCTCTGCTTCAGGTTTCACTAGGTACACAACAGTTTCCCCTACAAGACTTGGTAACTTGTACCTTATCGACCGAAATTAGTCGAATTACATCAACATTGCTAACCCGCATATTTAGAATAATATTGTTAAACAAGTTAAGACATTACCAAAATCAATCTAATATTTTCTCTAGTTAATGTTATTCCAATCAAGATGATCAAATCAAACGCTCGTCCAAGGAAGCACCACGGACTCATAAAACCGAAAACTAAAAGTATAATAGTTTAGCGTTTTGTCTGGTGTTTGAGGTAGCCGGGCACTACTGTTTTCTAAGGTTGGCAACGCATCTATAGATGAACTGGTATTATAAATGTCCATATGCACATTAAACGCTTATTATCAGGTGAACCCCTTGCTCGCTTGAGAATTTGTGAATATTAACTACTTTAAAACTTAGTTATTTCTTATTTTTTTAAACCCGTTGTTAAAAAGGGTTTTTAAAACGAAAAAATTTTAAACTTTTAGTTAAAATTGAAAAATACTTATTATCTAACAAACTTTACCTTAATACATTAACTTTTTAATGGATATTAAGACTTTTTTTGTTTCTTTTTTGTTAGGTAGCCAGAAGAAACCAATTTTTCTTCTCCAAGCTACGCTGATGATACCAAATGTGTCAGTTAAACCGACGTTAGAGGAGATCCAAGATGTCTTAGTACTAGCTGGAAAACTCATTTCTGGCTTGTCAAAAGGTGTCTCACAATGGACTGGAAACAAATCATCGAGGGTAAAATTTATACTATCTTGACTATCCGAATTTCATAAAGCGTACTTTTATTTACTTATAGGTTATGTATTTTCGTTTTCTTGTGGTATAAAACACCAAAGTAAGAGTTAGAGAAATGTGTTTAACTGTGTTAGGGCCACGGAATAGTCGATTCTGTTGCATGAATGGGGGCAGTTTAACTGTGGTAGGGCCATGCAGCAGCCTCGGCTGTTGCACGAATGGGCAGGCTCGTCCGGGTAAGTACCACGTCCTCACAGAAGACCGGCGTAAACTGGAAGTATGACAAATACTTTCGCGTTTCGTCTGGACAGTGAGGTAGCCGGAGCCCAATTTTCAAAAGGTTGTCAACGCATCTGTAACCCTCGGGTGTAGCAGAAGTCCATGGACAGCGGTATTCACTTAACATCAAGTGAACAGCCAGCTCGCTTGTCAACTTTTCTCATAAATAAAAGGTCGGTCCAAGGAAGTACCATGACCTCACAGAAAATCGGCGTGAATTGGAAGAGTTATATTTCCGCTTTGCGTCTTGTGATTGAGGTAACCGGGGCCCACTTTAAAGGTGGTAACGCATCTGCAACCCTACGGATGTTGCAAATGTCCTTGGGCGATGGGTACCACTTAACATCAGGTGAACCACCAGCAAAAAAAAAGTAAATGCTTATTGCTTACGTCCCCATTAGTGATTTTAAGCGATGATATTTTGTTTTGGCCGGTGTATAATTTATTCATTTAAGCTTTATTGCTAACATTGAATAACTGTAATGTAATTCGCCCGCTAGACCTTCAAATGTAATGACTATGCATATCCGTATTAAGTACCTATTTGAATGAAATATTAACATGAAATTTTGGTATTTTTTTTTATTTGTGTCGTTAAATGTCTTGTTCCGTCCTATAAATCGCACTTTACACATCTCTGTCCTCGATGGTGTCTCCGTCCGGCAAAATATTTTCGTTTTCCTACGGCCGAACCGCTTTTTTGTTACGAACAATTCGCTATACACTTAACGTGCTTAATTTATGTTCCCGTATTTTCTTATTATTACTGACACCTTTGTTTTTTGTTTTCGTTTGATTTTGTTTTACTTTAATTTGCCCGCTTGTTTCCTTGTCTTCGCACGCGACTACATTCGTACAGGTTAGCTGGAGGAGGCTCGCGGGCCATCAATCCAACCAGCTGGTCGGAGTAGTTACCAAACTTGACGAACAGGTTCAATCAGTGACAAATACGGCGCATAAGTCTTCGAGGTTGGCGGACGCTACAAAAATAAAAAAGAAAAAGTACTACAGATTAGAGTCAGAGGAGAAACCCGTGTTTCCGTTACAACAGAAAAATTTCTTTATTCACGTTATGGAGAACAAAGAGATTTTGAAAACATTGTCTTTGTTATCTACTTGCACTCAAAATATTAAAATTGTAAGTGTGGTTTTAATCTTTTTTTTTAAACAGTAGCATGAATGAATATAATTCAAAGATACGAAGTTTTTTTTATTTAAAGTAAATAAGTATAACGCTGAGTCAATGAATGCCTAAATCTATGTCAATTTCAACTAAAAAAAATTATTTTATGTAATGTTGTAAAAATGTACCTTCATTTTTAAAAATCTATTGCAACGTTATAAATTTCAGGAACTAATTGCCCTCGTAAAACGTTGGCGACCATACCACTACTTGTGGAAATGCGAAAAATCTCTACGTCAGTTGTTAGCGTGGAACTTAAATGACTTCGAAGTTGCTTTGAAAAGACATAGCGAATTGGAAGCGAAGCTTTCAACAGAACCAGATGTTTTGATCATAGGCAAATGCTTGGCTGTTTCGACTGAAAAACTAAAGTTAGGTCTGACAACTGAACTAAAAAGTAAGTTTAATATTTAAGAAATATTGACTGTTTTATCTTTCTTATCCTTGAAACGAGCAATTCTTGTATATTTATATAATCGGAAATTCGGAATCTCGGAAACGGCTCCAGCGATTTCCATGAAATTTAGTATGTGCGTAGATTCTGGGGCGAAAAATCGATCTGGCTAGGTTTCATCTTTAGAAAATGTCCTTTTACCCCTGTTTTCAGGGAATTTTTCATTCTCTGAAAATTCTAATTTATCATTCGAATATGACGGTAAATTTCGCCGAAAAAAAATGTTATAATAGCTCGGTTGGTAATCGGGCGGTCGCGAAACAGAAGGCCGCGGTTCGTGTCACGATCATTTACACACTTATTTTTTTATTTTATTTTTTGATTCCAGATCGTTGCTTTCTTTATTTTTTAGTTTTGTCGATCCCGATGATTTTTTTCTTTTTTTCCCTTTTCTTTTGTGAAAATCGTGGGTAAAATCGAAAAATATTATGCATATTTCATTACTCAGTATTTTGTATCTAAATGTAATAACGGTTATTTTAAAGAGTCCATCCATAGAAATTTACTACGTATGACGGCAGTGTAAAAAATAAATATAGTTAAACTGTGAAACTATAATTTCTAAGTGCTTGCATTATATAACAGATGGCACATACAGAATAAGCCAAGCAATGCGTAAAAAGTACAAACGCGAAATGGATTACGTTTACGCCATTATGAACGACTTAGAACGCAAGCTGGAAAGACCTATTCGGGACTTAGACGATGTCAGAACGGTAATGGAGACTTTGAAAAAGATAAGGGAACAAGAGGTCGACATGGAACTGAAGATCGATCCGGTTGAGGTACATAGCTTTTTGCATTTAAATAGCAAGTTACAAACTCATGCAACTGCATTTAAGTTAGGACAATATGCACAGCGTGGTTCAAGTTTGTAGTTGAAATAAAAAGGAACTAACTATACTATTTAATAGAAATGCAACGTAATCCCAACGGATAATTTCGTTTGTGTGTACACTACATACGGGGTTGGCGCATTGACAATACATTTTTGCACATTGTATATCACTTTAAACTAAGATAACCTGGCCTCAAAAGTGAGTGACAAATAAAAAAAGTGATGAACTTCTTCGCCTTATATAAATATAACAACCGAGCGTTTATTATCCATGGGCTATTATTATACGAGGAGTTTTACGATTCAAGGAGGCCTTCAACGTTATCACACGTTACGAGCTACCAGTGAGCAAGGAGGATATTGAGCAAGTGGACAACCTTCGCTATACGTGGCAGCAGCTGCAGGCTACGGCGCTCGCCTCGCACGTGCACCTGCTAAAGATGCAGCCGCAGTTCGAAGAGGATTTGAAGAACAATCTTGACAGATTCCGTGAGGACAACGCCGAATACTGTCATGAGTACCGGCACGCGGGCCCCATGCAACCGGGCCTAAGCCCTCGCGAGGCATCCGACCGCCTCATATTGTTCCAGGTGAAATAATGAGATTATTATACCATTAGCCTCGTTCCCTCATCACACCTGAATAGGATCGCAACATGTGAAATAGAACATGTGTGAGTGACACTGGCTAGGTAAATACTTGTTCCCGGTACCCGGGTGGGGGAATCAAACACACGACTCCAGTCGCCGAGCTTAGAATCTGAACTACCTAGTTTTTCGAATTATATAAATGTTGTAAGTGAACTTTTATGAAGTCTTTACTTATTTTTATAATGTCTTTCAAGAAAAGCGTAGATATTCTGGATTTTTAATAAATTATCTACTTGTGTGGGTATATCTCTGAATTTTTTAATAAAGTAAAATAGCAAATGCTTTTTTAAGTTTTAAATTATAAAAATTACAATTCCTAAAGTAATAAAATAAATAAAAAGTATTTTTTGGAACGACTGTAGATAATTTTTATTAAATAAATATTAGATGTATAGTTGTTGAAGAGAGATCTGATTTCGAATAGTTCAACTTTATGCATTTTCGTTTTAATTTGCCTATACCTGCTGTTTATTAGAACCGATTTGATGGCATGTGGAGAAAACTGCAAACTTATCAAAACGGCGAAGAGTTGTTCGGTTTACCACACACGGAATATCCAGAACTCGCTCAAATTAGAAAAGAATTAAATCTGCTACAAAAACTATACAAACTGTATAATGACGTGATAGATAGAGTCAGTAGCTACTACGATATACCATGGGGCGAAGTTAACATTGAAGAGATTAATAATGAACTCATGGAATTTCAAAATAGATGCAGAAAATTACCCAAAGGGTGAGTTTATTTTTTATACTATTTTATGGTCATCAACGTAAAGTTCACTACAATCTAAATAGGAAATATGTGTAGGAAATACTAAAAAACATAATTATTTTACTGCTAGTTACGAGAATCGATTCCATTCAATGATATAAGTTTTTATTATATTAAATTTAGTATTATTTCAAACTTTTAAGTGCTAATACAGATTATTGTTATACAATTATATATAAATACAACACCAAATCGGTAAATTTAGTTTAATATTATTCACCTGACTAGGTTCGCTATTACATAAATCAAAGTCGCTAATGTTTTAAGATAAGATAATCCTTTATTTGCCTTTAACATAGTATAGAGGTGTTACATATCATTAATATTGAATTCCATGTTAATCTAATTTATAAATACCTAAATATTAATGGTAGGTACCTATCAACTAAAGTTACTTCACTATTAATCTAAAATTAACAACATTCAGTTATAATCAAGTTCTCAATCAAATGCCACAGTAAAATAGATATTAATTCAGAAAAGAAATGCAATAGCCGCAATAATAACGGGTCGCTGAAAAAAGTACCAGTTTCATAACTATCTAAAACTAATTCGTGAAACTGCAGTATGGGGCAGAATTAGTTCATAAAAGAAATACATAAAAAAATTTCACACTATTTCAACTCGTGTAACGTAGATGGAGCTGTAAATCGGTGTCTAACCCATCTACCAAGCTAGTCACATACATGTTGTATGACATCTTGACTATTGTTATTCCTTACATCCGACATCTTCAATAAACGCATTGACCAAATAAGCATCATGGGACCGCGCATTAACGTACGTTTAAATGAAATTTGCACCCATATTCAATAACAAAGGACCAGTATAGTCATTAAATATTATATAAATCTCATACACAAAACCTGGCACTCCATATCCACTGAGAAGTTTTGGTGCCATTAGCTGGCCCCTAGTTTTTTATATATATATAAATAAACAATTTAATTCATAATAATATAAACATTAAATTAGCGAAAAAATAATTTAAATAAATTTAAATTTAAATAAACATAAAAATGGATAACTCCTAAAACCATTGTAATAAAGTAAGAAGCAAACCGGCCAACTCCAAGCCAATATTAAATCTTAAAATTACTAAATTTACTAGCACTGTTTGATGAAAAATAAAATACGTATACATACCTTGTATTAATATTTTTTTAATTTAATATTTAATTGTTTTACAACACTACTTCTCTTTTCGTTGCGGTTTAACAATTTTTGTTCTCCAAAACGTAGGACAGTAACCATATACGACTCGGACGCCATACAAAATGGCCGATTTGATGGAGTTGGCTGTTAAAATCATAAAGTTTCGTGACTCGCGGAGTTGGCTGATTTTCGAATAGCGATTTATAGAAATAATTGTGATTATATTGGAGTTGTCGTTTTTGTAAATGACGCAGACTTACTGGTGCGTTTAATCTAAACTAAAAAAAATTTTTGTCAAAATGTGGAGTTGGCTGGTTTGCCAATTAAGGTATCGATATAAACCTTCCTCTCGAATCACTCTATATAATAAATAAAAAGAACCGCATCAAGATCCGTTGCGTAGTTTTAAAGATCTAAGCATACATAGGGACAGACAGACAGCGGGACGACGTTGTTTTATACTATGTAGTGATTATTCATTCCATGCCCTTCAGCTTTATTTTGAAGAGCGCCACCTTTGAGCAGGAACTCGAACTCCCCGTTGACCACCCTGCCGGGGTAGTAGAGCGCGAGGTGTCCGGCCCTGTGCCAGCGGCCCTTATTGTCCAGCTGCACGTCCACGCTCAGCTTCTGCGAGGGGTCCCGGTTCGCGTCCCAGTTGATGGCCGCGCTCAGCCGCCTCTGCGGCTCGCTGCTCCAGCGCTGGTACGAGATGTGCACATCGCGCAGCCTGGAACATTACGATGCGTATGATGGATGCGGGAGGATTTAACCGTGGTAGGGCCATTGCACGAATGGACAGGTCCGTCCGGGGAAGTACCGCTGCCTAACAGAAGATCGGCGTGATGTGGAAGTGTTATGCCGCTGCGTTTCGTCTAGTGATCAAAAGGTGGCAAGGCATCTGTCAAAGAAGCTGCAGATTGGCAAGCACAGCAAAAACCTTACCACGACCTCAGTGCCCGATGAATCTTTAAATCGTCTGTTTTTTGTTACGTTAGAAATTGGTAAACGAGCGGGCGGTTTATCCGAATTTAAGTGATAACCGCCGCCCATGGACATTTGCAACACCTTGGTTGCTGACACGTTGCCACAATTTAAGCTTCTAGAAGTCGTTGCAAAAATAATCCGGACCTCACATTATAGTGGTTAACTTATTGAAGCCTCTTACGGACGGACGGACGTTTACGATAAATCGGACCTCACTGGCTGGTTTTCAAATATTGTGGCCGGGCTCTCTAATTCGCTGCATTACTCTTTGAGCCACTGCTTCTACTGGCAGTGTATCTTTCCTTCATATACGATAGTAATAATCCGTATATATTCTTCGGGTGTTGGTTTCATGACACTGGACTGATTAGTCTAGCAATTCATGAAATTTATTAGAGCGACAATTCGGCTTAAATTACAAAATCTCTATATATAAAAATTAATCACTGAACGTGTTGCTAAGCGCAAATCTCGAGAACAGCTGAACCTTTTCCGCTAATTCTTTTTTATAATATTCCTTGAAGTAAGAGGATGGTTCTTACGGAGAAAAAAATTGCCAGAAAAAGTCTAAAAAAATCATTTTCTATATTCCCGTACAAAAAATTCGTAATAATATTTAAAAGTCAATTTGAACTTACCATAAAGTTTAAGTGTCAGTGGAGGGAATCCGCTAAGTGTGTGACTGTGGTAAAATGTCACTTAAAATGTAAACGTCTCTTTACTGTGAATCACTACATAGTATAAAACAAAGTCGTCTGTCGCTGTCTGTGTCCCTGTGTATTAACAATATTCATTTTGCAAAAGAGGGCCATAAGAGCAACTTACAATCTAAATTTGAATGTATCTCTGAGAGAGAAATTTAAAGAAATAAATATTTTAACCTTGGCCTCTCAATAAACATATGAAAATGTAATATATGTACATAGAAACATTAATAATTTTAATAAATATACTGATGTACATAATGTTAAAACTAGGAACAAACACAAGCTTGTAACGCCAGTTACTACACTCCATAAAGTCAGTAACTCGTTCATGGGACGGTACACGCCTCTACATCAAAATCCCAGTCAATGTGTAAAGCCTATCTATTAACAGGTTTAAGAAATGTATTAAAACTTTTTAAAAAGGGTTATTACAATATAAAAGAGTACATTAGTACGACAATAACCCCTGGAAATGAGATTATAGCTCCTAAGCTATTTCTAAATAAAAATAATGAAACGGTGATAGATTAAAAAATGACTATCGATAGATGAAATGTTATTTTTTATTTCGATGAATAAATTATTTGATTTTTATTTGATTTGATATGCTTAGATCTTTAAAATTGCACAACGTATTTGAATGCGGTTTCTTTTTTAATAGATAGAGAGATTCAAGAGGAAGGTTCATATGTATAATTCGCTGGAGCGGGTCGCAAGTATGAAATGTAAATGTACGTAGAACATACTACCTGTACTAAAGTAATCTATTTAAAGAAGTTTGATATAGTGATTTAACCGTTATTTTTGCGGCCTTTGGTATAGCATAGTTATGTTATAACATAGTTATGGTATAATATAGTTACGTTAAAAATAAAAGTTGGTTACATATAAGAGAACAATTTCTAAGAATATCAATTTAATTTAATAAATATACAAGAATTTGAAGATTGATTAAATAAAAATATGTGATTTTTGTGCAGTTTAAAAGAATGGCCGGCGTTTTACGCTTTAAAGAAGACTATAGATGATTTCAATGACATGTGTCCACTTCTCGAGCTCATGGCTAATAAAGCGATGAAACCGCGCCATTGGCAACGTATCATGGAAGTCACTAAATATAACTTTGAATTGGATAACGAAGACTTTTGTTTGAAAAATATTCTTGAAGCACCGCTACTACAGAACAAAGAGGATATAGAAGTATTTTTTTTTTCAATACTCAGCCACTTGCTTCCTCCCACCAAACGGCTTATTTAGATGTGCTTTTGTTATAATAATATGTGGAATTTGAGGAATCTGTTAACCCGAAGATACGACCGACCATGACCACAAATTCAGAAAGCTTGCTCATGTCCAATTTTTCGGATGATGGGTTTCCAATTTCCTCACTCACCAGGAAAAGTTAACAAATATAAATAAAAAAACGAACTTCTTCGAGGCTTTCTCAATTCCACGTTTGAATCGGCCTGGGTACAACAACAGAATTTGCCGCGTGGTATTAGTAAATTCTGTACGCTGAATTATTATGAAAGCTGAAATAAAATTGACTCCTAGCCTGAAAATGAACTTCACAAATTTCAGACAACAGATTCTTAAAATAGTGTGATACGTAATTATGTATCTATTATTTCACTATTTAATTGTATAAACTTTAAAGTATTTTGTTTGTGTTAAGTGAACCTAACCTAACCTCGTTTGAATACTAACTTGAGCAGCTTATGGCATGTATGAATAGTGCAACAAAATCATAAGCACATAGTGAAGTGTTTTAGTAAATCTTAGTGGAAGCAAATGGTAGTATCCAACGTAACTTACGTATTTTACACAGATCACACTAAAAGTTTCCGGAACTGGCCACTCAGTAACTTATCTCGCGATGGTCGCCCGTCCACCGCTGTGAACAACAAAAACATCGATGCTGTGCGCCGTGTGATCGAAACAGACATGCATGTGATTTCTTAACCTGCCATGAGATTCGGACATCCTTAAACGTATGCATGAGTCAAATACAATCAATCCTACACAAACATTTGGGTGTGAGAAAGCTATGCTCGCGGTGGATCCCCACACAATTTTACCGAGGTTTAAAAAACAGACCGCGACACTTGGTGCAATGTCATGTTGAGTCATAGTAACAGGTGATGAAACAAGAATTCTAAAACGATCCCAAAACTAAACAGCAATCAAGCGTATGGGTCTTACGGAAGATGAACCGAATGCAAACAAAGCAGCGCGCGTGAAAAGTGCATCTAAGCGAATGATTTCTTATTTTTTAATAAAACTGGACACGTGGCTACGTGTTGTGACGACGTGTTGACGTGGCTACGTGTTGTGACGACGTGTTTCTTTAGAAAATCGTCGTACCGTGAATAGTTACTGGTACACGACCGTTTGTTTGGCCGACCATTGGAATTCCATTCGCGACCATTGGAAGTTATTGACGAGCTACATATAAATAACAGAAAGCGCCGTATCATCTTGCACCACGACAATGCTTCTTCCCAAACGGCCAGACAGACAAACGAATTTTTGATGGTGAATTTATGAGCCATCCTGCGTACGGTCCCGACCTGGCATCTTGTGAGTTTTTTCTGTTCCCAAAAATTAAGATCTAATTACGCGGTGGACGATTTTCATAACCAGAAGAGGCTGTCGAAGAGTATGAAAAACACGTTTATGAGGTTACCCTAGAAGAGTGGCAGAAATATTTTCAAAATTGGCTAAATCGTATGAAAAAGTGCATTTACGAAGGAGAATATTTTGAGAAACAATAAATTCATTTTTGACGTTCAATAATATTTTTTTCTTATTCATTCCGGAAACTTATAGTGCGCCCCACGTAATTACCAATGTTAGTAAGCAAGCGTCCATCATTTGCTAAGATGTGTATTTTTCATTCATTGATTCCATTCATGCCGCTGCAACTACGCATGTGTCAATATGGTTAAAGAAGCATAACTAAACGGATATATCATGATGACTAGCTATTTTTTGGCCTAAAAATTTTATTCTTCTATTTTTGCGAATAGCTTCCCGTAACAAGCACGAGCAGACATTTAAAAAATATTGTATAAGGTTGTAAATGAAGAATACTTACAGGATATTTGCATTTCTGCAATGAAAGAGAAAGATATAGAAGCGAAGCTGCGTCAAGTCACAAATGAATGGTCAGTGCACGAACTGACATTCCAAACGTTCAACAACCGCGGCGAATTATTGCTTCGAGGAGATACCACTGCAGAGACAATCGGGCAACTTGAAGACAGCCTTATGATCTTAGGATCCCTATTGTCTAATCGGTAAAACTTTATTTTATATTTATTATAATAAGTTTAAAGAATTAATTTATATAAAAGCATAAATATATTTTTTTACCTTTGATATGCTATTCTTACCCTATTTTCCTCAAATCAAATTAATGATGATTGTTTTAGTTATAAGAATGAGGAATAAATTTTAAAGATTGCTTGTTTACAGGTACAACGCCCCGTTTAGAAAACAAATACAACAATGGCTGTATGATTTGCAAAGCACAAATGAGATCCTAGAAAGATGGCTGCTTGTACAAAATATGTGGGTTTACTTAGAAGCGGTGTTCGTTGGAGGTGATATAGCAAAACAACTTCCAAAGGAAGCTAAACGCTTCTCTAAAATTGACAAATCATGGCAAAAAATCATGCAAAGAGCTCACGAGACTCCCGGTGTCGTGTCCTGCTGCGTTGGAGACGATCTTCTTAGGCAGCTACTGCCTCATCTACAAGAGCAGTTGGAGCTATGCCAAAAAAGCTTGAGTGGATATTTGGAAAAGAAGAGAACTATGTTTCCGCGCTTTTTCTTCGTATCTGATCCCGCGTTGCTTGAGATTTTGGGCCAGGCGTCCGATTCGCATACGATACAGAACCATTTACTTTCAATATTTGATAATATACGATTTGTTAAATTCCATGATATTGGTGAGGGCAATATTGAATTAATTTAGTTAAGACATATAAAATTTGATCTGTGGACACAAGAAGAACACGGATAAAACTCTACGTAATGTACAATTTGTGAACTTCTTTACAGAATATAACAAAATGACAGCAATCGTGTCATCCGAAGGTGAAGAGATAAAACTTGAGAGACCAGTAAGGGCTGAAGGTTCAGTTGAAACGTGGCTTACTTCTCTTTTACAATCCGCTCAAAGCAGCTTACATTCTATAATTCGGAACGCAGTTTCAGTGATTAATGATCCATCTTTCAATTTGTTGTTATTCCTTGATAAGATGCCGGCGCAGGTAATAATATTTTCATATGTAAATATATACACTAATCTTCAATATATTTAGCCCTTTATAGCACCTAATTATCAAATATGCATGCAAGCAATAACATCTATTGCTTGTGTGCAGATTGTCCAATATTAAAAATAGTGTTTTAGAATATAATGAAATGTTTTAGAATATAAAGAAACATTTCATCTTAACAGGTCGGGCTTCTCGGTATCCAGATTATTTGGACAAGGGACTCAGAACTGGCTTTAATGCAAGCTAGGCAAGATAAAAAAATTATGATGGAAACTAACAACAAATTTTTAGAGTTACTGAACACATTAATTGATCAGACTACCAGAGACTTGCAAAAGATAGAGCGCATCAAATTTGAAACGCTCATCACAATACATGTACATCAAAGGGATATTTTTGATATGTTGGTGAGAATTTTGTTAATCATGAAAATGCAACATATTATTGTTTCATTTTGTTCAGTAAATGTATTTAAAAAAAACTCCTTAATATTTTGTGACACAAGCAGATAGTTTGACTCACATTAAGTGATTACCACCACTGACCGACCATAACAAAATCCGTGGGTCAAACTATATATATAGGCCTTAAGAAAATGGAGAATCCCACTAACCCGGCGAAACGGCAAAGCATCTATAATTCATCGTCACGAAAGTATTTGCTTAGACCGTGGTACTTCCCCAATAGTTTTAAAAGTTTCATTCGTACAACAGCAGAACCTATTGGATGGCTCGATTCATAATACGTTAAGTATATTTTTATTAATTTCTCAGTGTCGCCTGAACGTTCGGTCCGCGAACGATTTCGAATGGTTGAAGCAATGTCGCTTCTACTTTAAGGAAGACGCTGACAAAACATGGATATCCGTCACAGACGTCACTTTCACGTATCAAAATGAGTATTTGGGATGTACTGAAAGGCTTGTCATTACTCCACTAACTGATAGGTGATCAATATTTTATTTAATTTTAGACATATTGACTATTTGCCCCTGTTTCCTAAGTAATCTGAATTGGACAGATTTTTTCATCGAATTACAATACACACGACAAAAAAAAATACGTTTCGTCACTTGTATGAGATTGTAAACTCTAAGCTATCTTCAGCTTCTGTCATTTACAGGTTCCAATATTAACTATGTCATAATTTTTAGGTGCTACATAACATTGGCGCAAGCATTAGCTATGAGTATGGGAGGTGCGCCGTGCGGACCAGCTGGAACTGGAAAAACTGAAACGGTGAAAGACATGGGCAAAACTTTGGCCAAATACGTCGTAGTCTTTAACTGTTCCGACCAAATGGATTACAGGTCATTATCTCAGTCTATCTTTGGAATCGCCACACTGTTTCTTGTTTACCATTACTTAATTTTAGTGTGCTAGTACTCATAAGTACAATCATGGTCATTCTTTTCAATCATTCTTGTCAATCACTGACTCAAACAGGCTGAAATGATGATGATGATGACTGTTGTATGAAAAAATTATATTCAATACAAAATCTTTTGTGTTTTTAAATTTCAAGTTTTCCCAAATCATTTAACTCACGTAGCCGTACTAAATAAAGAAACAAATTTTCTTTTCTTTAAAAAGTGTTCTTGTGTAATCTGAATACAGGCAAGAGCAAGAAGAAGTGCAAGACTATGAAGAAATACTTTTGGTGGAATTATTTTCGAAACTGTGAACTGCTAAAGTCAGACAGTATGACTAATTGATTAAAAAGCAATATTGGCGTATAATGGTATAATGAAAATATAGATAATACATAACATCCTCAATCCATGTGTACAAAAATGTATAGATTGGCAGAACAACTTGTGTCAGTTTTGAGAAGATTGGTTTTGACTAGACTTTCATTATGTGTCTATATTGCTCATTAATATCACGCGCAATTATTTTATTATAATATTGTCGTTTCCAGGGGCCTTGGGCGCATCTACAAAGGCCTAGCGCAATCGGGCTCCTGGGGATGCTTTGACGAATTCAACCGAATTGAGTTGCCAGTGCTATCCGTGGCGGCTCAGCAAGTAGCCGTAGTGCTTGCTGCCAAGAAAGAAAAGAAGAAATCCTTCTTCTTCACAGATGGCGACATGTCGGATATGTGCCCAGAGTTTGGCATTTTTATAACTATGGTAAAAAATACAATATCTTCAGCCACCGCCGCGCAGATTCTACCGTTTCTCAGTATTTAAATACGTAATAAACATCAATAAGTAAATACGGACAATATAGCCACATTCTTAGAAATTAGCAATGTTTAGCGTAATTTTAAAAGATGATGTCAAATACTAAAGTAAATCTATACTATAATAAAAATAGTAGAATCTGCGTGTCTGTACATTGAATATATTTATGAAAAAATGAAATAGGGTATCATAAAAAGAGTTATATGAAACATAAAAACCATTTTTGTCTGTCTGTCTGTCGGTGCGCGATAAACTCGGACACTCCTTATCGGATTTTGATGCAGTTTTCACTGGTTACTTAAGCAAAGCTTGGGGCAACATTTAGACTTTGTTTCATCTCAATCGGTTCAGTCAAACGGGAGATATGGGAGTTCTAAGATTAAAGCAGTACAGTTAGTTATCACAGTTTGGTGGTAAGCGCGGCAAATTACCAACCCGACACAAACGCGAAGGTCAACAAGCGTCGTCCGCGAAACGTTCCCATCGACCCGGTCGAGCAATCCAGGTCGATTGATCCAGTAGTTAATAACGTGTATATTCTGTTTAAGTAAAGTGATTGCGGTCAAACGATACTTAAATATTGCTAGGAAGTTTTACTGACACATTGTCAAAAAAACCCGTAAAAACGATCCTATGTTTTATGAGTATTCACTTTTTTTTTTTGAGTGAACAAATTGCAATAAAACAAAGCTTTAACGTTGCACAGAATTAATCTTGAATAATTTCAAAAACACCATACAAATTAGTCAAGTAGTTGGATAACTGTGATAATCTTGTATCTTGTAACTGATGTTTTTGCTTTCAGTTCCGAGACTATTAAAGCTTCATCTGACGCAGAACCGGTGGGTTAGCCTGAAACCCAATTAGCTAATCGGTGGCTGGAAGCGGTGAGAACCGCCCCGGTACCTTGTAAACGCGTTGTGTTGGTCTGGCCGTGCTCGGAGCCGAGGACGAACTAGTGTGTTTGTTGTTGCACTAACTGTGGGTGTAGTGTTATCCGGCGGGGCCCCCGGCGGTGGGTCTGACGTATCTAAGCCCCTTCCTCGACCGGGTCGATGAGGACGTTTCGGGCGACGCTTGTTGACCTTCGCGTTTGTGTCGGGTTGGTAATTTGCTGCGCTTACCACCAGAGGGTTGGTATAATGTTCGGCTCTATTGAAGAACCGTTTGGTCAGGTCTTTAAAATATTCGCGAATCGGCGGAAGTTTGCAATAGCTGTGCAGGTCGACGTTGCGTTGATACCACTGCGCACCGGTTGCGCGGCGGATGAACTTATTTTGTACTATTTGCAACTTGTACAAGCGAGTAGGGTGCGTGTGGGCGAAGGTCATGCATGCGTAGGACATAATAGGTCGTACGCAGGTCTTGTATAATAATAATTTGTGCCTTAAGGGCATTTTACTTTTAGCGTTAGTTAAATTGTGTAGCCGGGCGGAGACGAACGCGGCTCTATTACTAACGTTATTAATGTGCGTAGTAAATGACATACGCGAGTCGAAAGTGACTCCTAAGTATTTGACCTTTTTCTCCCATCCCCAGACAGATATTTGCCCCAACTTTCTGCAATGGCGAGGGTCTTTATAAAGATGTGACGGGTAAGAACTTCGTGTGAAGTTAATCGCTACACTCTTTTCGGGATTTACTTCTATTCTCTATTTGCGGAACCAATCGCCGAGGCGGTCCGCGACGCTGTGGAGTCGAGTGGTTAGTTGACTGAGGTTTCGGTCTGAATAAAAGAGCGCCGTGTCATCTGCGAAAAGCGCGAGACTGACGTGGGGGTCTTTTGGTATGTCGCTCGTGTAGAGCGTAAAGAGCAAAGGTGAGAGGCAGGAGCCTTGTGGAACGCCAGCCTTGAGGCGGCGGCTTGTGGAGAGGGTTCCCTCGACTCGATATCGAAAAGAGCAATTCAACAGTAAGGTGTGGTGGTGTGTACTTGTATACACCATACTCAGTGTGTACACTGTGTATGGTGTGTCAAGCCTATCTGGCACTTTGAGTGTATACAGCTTGTAAAGCAAGCCGTTGTGCCAGACCTTGTCGAATGCTTTTGTGACATCGAAGAAAAGAGCCCCCGTGCTAATGTTTAGGGTGATTGAGGCCTTTTATGATATAATCCGTTAGGCGGTATGATTGATCGGGACAGGAATGTTTAGCTGGAAAGACAAATTGTTCCGCCGGCAAAAGGCCGTTGGAAAACACGTGCTCTTTGAGCCTGTACAATAGAAGCCGCTCGTAGAGCTTCCCCAGGCAACTGAGGAGGGACAATAACTAGCGAGTTTAGTATATGAGTAAATCGTAAAATAATTTCGCTGACTATTGATAGAAACATTTATGGAGATTTGAAAAAATTTTCCGAACTAAAATGAATATTGATTATTTTTGGCTTCACTTAATTCAGAATCCCGGCTATGCTGGACGCAAGGAGCTGCCGGAAAACCTGAAAATACAATTCCGAACGGTAGCTATGATGGTGCCGGATAGACAAATCATCATACGAGTAAAGTTAGCTTCTTGCGGCTTTCTCGAGAATATAACTCTTGCACGGAAATTTTACACACTTTACAAGCTGTGTGAAGAACAGCTAACCAAACAGGTTAGTTGAATGTATTTTTTCTGATACTAAATGACAGTGGGTTGGGGAAATGAACATATTTATCCTTGCGAAGCCCAATTCATTACATTTTATACAGAGAAGTTTAATATTGAAAATAGGCTTGATTTGTATTTGTGAATTTTAAACTCATTTAGAATGCAGTAGAGATTGTAAAAAAACACGGTGTAATTGTTGCTGAACGTCTTACGTGTTCAAAATAATTCACCTCGTATAAAAATATTCTAAGAAACGTATTTCATGGCACTTTTATTTTAAATTTTGGTCTTTAATGATTGGGTTCGTCCTATTAAGATACAAAACTTATAAAGAAGTAGTTTTCAAATTTCAGTAGATAAAATATTAGGTCATAACGTAGACCTTGATAAATAAGTAAAAAAACATCTACCAGAATAAATGTAATAAGCATAAATTTTCAGGTGCACTATGATTTCGGCTTGAGAAATATTTTATCCGTATTAAGAACTCTAGGCGCAGTCAAGCGAGTAAATTCAAAAGACAACGAGAGCACAATAGTGATGCGGGTTTTGCGAGATATGAATTTATCAAAATTAATAGACGAAGACGAACCCCTCTTCATTTCCCTTGTTGCTGATCTATTTCCAAATCAAGTGTTAGAGAAAACGATATATCCTGAGCTGGAGGATGCTATTAGAAAACAAGTGGATCAAGCTGGTTTAATCTATCATCCACCATGGATATTAAAAATTATACAGGTAAGCAAGTTTTACTTCCAAATCTCTGCCATGAAAATCATCGCGTAAAACTTTTGATAATATTTGTAAATTAAAATATTAGCTTTACGAGACTCAAAGGGTCCGGCACGGCATAATGATACTTGGCCCTCCGGGAGCAGGGAAGACTACTTGTATACATACGTTGATGACAGCTTTATCTGACATAGAAAACCCCCACAGGTAAACTTCTAATTCAGTAAGTTTAGGTTAGTTATCAGATTAACTTGCTTACTTACTATGATTACTGATTATCTAGAGAGATGCGGATGAATCCAAAAGCTATAACAGCATCTCAAATGTTTGGACGGTTAGATGTTGCTACAAACGACTGGACTGATGGCATATTCTCCGCCTTGTGGAGAAAGACTTTAAAAATAAAAACAGGTGAACATATTTGGCTAGTCCTCGACGGTCCTGTCGACAGCATATGGATTGAAAACTTGAACTCTGTGCTTGATGACAATAAGACATTAACTTTAGCCAACGGTGACCGTTTGACTATGTCTCCTACCTCAAAAATTATTTTCGAGCCAGAGAATATTGATAATGCTTCACCAGCCACTGTATCTCGTAATGGAATGGTATATATGAGTTCATCAGGTTTAGATTGGGAACCAGGTATGATTTTTTTTATTTAAATGTAAACAGTTAATATAAATAATATGATTCTTATATTTTAATCTTTTTCAGTGCTAGGCGCATGGCTTAAGACGCGATCTCAAAGAGAAATAGATGTCTTCAGTGCTCTATTTGAGAAAACATTTTTAAATGCTTATACTTGGTGCACTCAGAACCTTATCTTTAGTATGCGTGTTCTTCAAAGTAATATAGTGCTACAAATGTTGAGTCTCTTAGAGGGGTTGGTACCACCACAGATTGTCGAAATTGAAGATCTGTCAGCAAATCGATCTGTGAATGGTGATATAGATGACGAAGAAGAAAAAGAGAAAACTGAGGAAATCATTCTCTTTACCCAGGAACATTTACATAAAATTTATATTTTTGCTCTGATATGGGGATTTGGCTCACTTTTAGAGACTGAAGATAGAGTCAGATTTGACAAATACTTGAAAACATCTTTCACAGACATATTAGAACTGCCAAAACACCCAAATAATAAACCTAGTATTGTGTTCGACTTTTATGTAAAACAACCCGGTAAGTGGGAGTTATGGGATGACTTAATGACAAACTATCAGTATCCGGACACAGCGACACCTGATTACTCTAGTATTCTAGTGCCGATTATTGATAATGTTAGAATAAACTACCTTATTCATTGCATTGCTAAACAAGGCAAAGCTGTATTACTCTTAGGAGAGCAAGGATCAGCTAAAACCGTTATGATGAAAGCCTACATGAAGAATACTAATCCGGAACAATTTATGGGGCGTTCATTTAATTTTTCTTCAGCGACTAGTCCCTACCAGTTCCAGAAAACTATAGAGAGTTATGTAGAAAAACGCAGTGGAATGACTTTCGGTCCCCCTGGAGGTAAAAAAATGTTAGTCTTCATAGACGATATTAATCTTCCGCAAATAAACGAGTGGGGTGATCAGATAACAAACGAAATTGTAAGGCAAACAATGAGTATGGGCGGTTTTTATAGCCTAGAGAAACCTGGAGATTTTACATCAATAGTAGATATACAGTTCTTAGGCGCAATGGGACAACCAGGTAAGTTATATCTCAACAATATTTTTAAGAAGATTTTTGATGGATTAAAAGTTCGCATTTGCGTTTGAATTATATGAAAAAAATTAAAAATTGCTGTCACCCGCCAAACAGATATCGGTACCCATAATAAAAAGAGTGGAAATTGTGACGTACCTAGTATATAAAATGTGGTCGTAGTCTTTGTATATAAAATGAGTTTTATACAAAATATAACGTAAAATTTCCGAGGATTACAACTATTTTATATGAGAAAGTGGCAAACGAGCTAGCTGTTTACATGATGTTAAGTGATAACCGCCGTCCCTCGACATTTGCAACACCCGTAGGCTTGCAGATGTGTTGCCACCTTTTAATAAAGTGGGCCCCAGTGGGCCCAACTGTCCACCAACAACCTACCTACCGTAAATTTATGTTGCGCAAAAAAAATACATTATCATAGCAGTAAATTTCGAAACATCAAGAGGGTATAAATATATTTAAAATTTTTTGGCATTGTACAGTTTAGCAGAAAAAAAGGTAGACGATTTGGTGATAGTAAGGACGTGATACCCGTACAATATAATATACTATAAACTCTTATATTCTATATATTATGATTATATAATTAACAAATACAGTTTAATTTTCTTTCAATAACTATTCGAAAAACAACTATTTCAGGTGGCGGGCGCAATGATATACCTTCTCGTTTAAAAAGGCAATTTGCAATATTTAATTGTCCATTGCCAAACAATGAATCTATTGACAAAATATTTAAAGTAATCGGTGAAGGCCATTACAACGCAAAACGTGGTTTTACTACTGAAGTCCGATCTCTTATAAAGCGTGTTATACCATTAACACGGGAGTTATGGACCAGAACGCGGATGAAATTACTTCCTACGCCAGCAAAGTTTCACTATGTATTCTCTTTGAGAGATCTATCAAGAGTTTGGCAGGGTATGGTTGGAACATTACCTACAGTTATTGAATCAGAAAAATGTCTTATGCTGTTATGGAAACACGAGTGTTCACGAGTCTTTTCGGATAGATTTACTCATCAAACGGACAAAGATTGGTTCAACAAATCACTGTATGATATCACCGAGGAAATTTTAGGTGTAGAATATAAGAAAATGATGGAAAAAGACCCCGTATTTGTTGATTTTATGAGGTAAACCTGGACTCACTCAATCAAAAGGTATCGTATCAATATTTCACAAAATCATTAATTAAATCATGTATTCATATTTCCAGGGATGCACCCGAACCAACTGGTGAGGAAGGTGAAGACGCTGATATGGAATTACCCAAAGTGTATGAACCAGTGTTTGATTTTAATGAATTACGAGATCGGTTGGATATGTTCCTTTCCCAATTCAACGAGATGGTTAGAGGATCAGGAATGGATTTAGTATTTTTTCCTGATGCAATGCTCCACTTGGTAAAAATATCCCGCGTTATACGACATCCGAGAGGAAATGTCATGTTAGTTGGCGTCGGTGGCTCTGGAAAACAATCTTTGACAAAACTATCTACATTTATTGCCGGGTACCGTTCATTCCAAATAGCGTTAACGAGGTCGTATAATGTAGGAAACTTTTTAGAAGACCTCAAGTTGCTATACCGATCTTGCGGCGTACAAGGGAAAGGGACAACATTTATATTTACAGACTTGGATATTAAAGAAGAAGGATTTTTAGAATACTTAAATAATATTTTGTCGTCGGGTGTCATATCTAATTTGTTTACCAAGGACGAACAGCAAGAAATTATTTCCGAATTAACACCAATCATGAAACGAGAAAACCAAAAGAGAACATTAACTAATGAACTTGTTATGGAGTATTTTCTTAATAGAACTTGTCAAAATCTTCATGTTGTATTATGTTTTTCGCCTGTTAGTACATTTCATTAAATTAACGACGTTTTCAGTACCAGTAGCAAACATTTTAATTTCTTTCCCAAATTTTACAGGTGAGCGAAGCATTTCGATACCGTGCCTTACGATTTCCTGCATTAATATCGGGTTGCACTATAGATTGGTTCCAGCCTTGGCCAAAAGATGCTCTTGTGTCTGTTGCTGACCACTTTTTGGCAGAATTTGAAATAGAATGTACGAAAGAAGTTAAAAAGGAGTTGGTTACGGTTTTAGGAACAATACAAGATGTTGTTTCACAAGTATCCACTGAATATTTTCAAAGATTTCGAAGATCTTCTCATGTTACTCCGAAATCATATTTAAGTTTTATAGGAGGCTATAAAACTATTTACCAAATGAAACAAAAGGAATTAGGGGATGGAGCATTAAGAATGGACACGGGATTGGAAAAACTTAGGGAAGCATCGATTTCTGTAGAGGTTTTAAAAAAAGATTTAGCCGTTATGGAACAGGACTTAGCCTTAGCATCCGAAAAAGCTGACCGGGTTTTAACCGAAGTTACAGAACGGGCTATGCAAGCAGAAATAGTAAAAAATCAAGTACAAATAGTAAAAGAGAAAGCAGAAGCTCTGGTAGCTTACATTGCCGAAGAAAAGGAAAAGGCTGAAATAAAATTGGAAGCTGCTAAACCAGCCCTTGAAGAAGCCGAGGCTGCGTTGAATACTATTAAACCAGCTCATATAGCAACTGTTAGAAAATTAGGCAGGCCTCCTCATCTGATTATGCGAATCATGGATTGCGTGCTTATCTTATTTCAGCGCCGGTTACATCCATTAATTCCGGATACTGCTGCACCATGTCCTAAACCATCCTGGGCTGAATCATTAAAGGTGTAATTTTCTAAAAAATAATCAAACATTTTAAATTATAATTTGGACCTTATCCATTTTAACTGTTTTTAACTTAGTAATGTTATTATTAAAAAAGTAAAGTATCAGCCTATACCCACTACTGGGCAAAAGCCTCCTCTGTACAGAGAGGTATCAGGGCATAGTCCACCACGCGGTCACTACGGATGGGCGGACTTCACATATGTATCTTCGCAATATTTTTTTTGTTATAAATTCGAAAATATGCAGGTTTCCTCACTATGGTTTCCTTCACCGCTCAGAACGTGATAATTAGGGACGTAAAATTAATTATCTCATTGGTGACGGCACCGGGGATCGAACTCAGGTTGCTCGAGTATATTTGAATTAAAGGCGAACACTGAGCTATCAAGGCTCTGAAACTATGTTATTATACTGTAACAACTTTCAGATGATGGCTAGTACAACGTTTCTTTTACAATTGCAAAATTATCCAAAAGATATTATTAACAACGAAATGGTAGAACATTTAACGCCATACTTTGAAATGGAAGATTATAATATGGATACAGCAAAACGTGTATGCGGCGATGTGGCCGGCTTGCTATCCTGGACCAAAGCAATGGCATTTTTTCATAGCGTTAATAAGGAAGTTTTGCCTTTAAAAGCAAATCTTTTATTGCAAGAAGCTAGATTGAAGGTAAATAACGTTTACTATTCCATTTTGGTCAATAATAACCGTAACCATTCTGATGAAATTAAAAAAATCGATGTGATACTCACATTAATCTAGCAATGTCATTTTCAATAACTTTTTTCAAACTTAACGCCGCTTGACGATACAGTTCAATTTTATAAACAAGAGAGAACTTAATTAACGAAATCTAGAAAGTTGGACCCAATAATTGTAGTAACTTATGTATATACTTCTTTTACAGTTCTAGTAATATGCCATATATCTTTTTATTCATCAAAATTACAGGTAGCGATGGAAGATCTTGCGTCAGCAGAACGACAGCTAGAAGAAAGAGAAATGTCTCTACGCAAAGTCAAGGAACAGTACGAATCAGCTGTATCTGAAAAACAACAACTAACAGATGCGGCAAATGTTTGCTTGAGAAAAATGACAGCAGCGACTGCTTTAATAAACGGTTTAGGTGGAGAAAAAATTAGGTGGACTCAACAAAGCAAGGATTTCAAAGAACAACTTGGTAGATTGGTCGGTGACGTCGTTTTGGCAACCGGCTTTTTGTCATACTGCGGGCCATACAATCAAGAGTTTAGAAACAATTTATTTAATACCTGGATGGGAATTCTACAAAATAAACATATTCCAGTTACAGATAATTTAAATATTACAAATATGTTAGTAGAAAACGCTACTATATCTGAATGGACACTTCAAGGTCTTCCTAATGATGAGCTATCTGTTCAAAATGCTTTAATTGTTACAAAATCGAGTTCATATCCACTCCTAGTTGACCCACAAAGTCAAGGCAAAAATTGGATAAAAAATAAAGAAAGCACTAATGAACTACAAATTACTTCATTGAACCATAAATATTTTAGAACTCATCTTGAAGACAGTTTATCTCTTGGTAGACCACTTCTCATTGAGGACGTTGGGGTCGAATTAGATCCTGTCATTGATAATGTTTTAGAGAAAAATTTTATTAAATCTGGGTCTATTGAAAAAGTGATAGTTGGTGATAAAGAATGTGATGTCATGCCTGGATTTATGCTATATATAACAACTAAATTGCCAAACCCCCCATACTCACCAGAAATTAGTGCAAAAACTTCCATTATTGATTTCACTGTAACAATGCAGGGGCTTGAAGATCAATTACTGGGACGAGTTATCTTGATGGAAAAGTCTGATTTAGAAGAGGAACGTGTGGCTCTCTTTGAATCAGTCATGAAGAATCAAAGAAGTATGAAAGAATTAGAAAGTAACTTGTTATGTAGATTAACATCTTCGGAAGGATCTTTGGTTGATGACGAAGCACTTATTCAAGTATTACAAATTACTAAATCAACAGCAGAAGAAGTAAATGAAAAATTAAAAGTGGCCGAGGTAACCGAGAAAAAAATCATCAAAGCAAGAGAAGAATTTAGAGCGGTAGCCGCTAGGGGTTCGATATTATATTTTTTGATTGTCGAAATGAGTAATGTTAACATTATGTACCAAAATTCACTCAAACAGTTTCTGAATATTTTCGACAACTCTATAACCAAATCGACAAAAAGTAATATCACAGAAGAAAGAATAAACTTAATTTTGAAATACCTTACACATGAAGTGTGGGCATTTACATTGCGAAGCTTATACGAAAGACATAAAGCATTATTTACATTGATGTTAGCCATGAAAATAGATTGTCACCGAGGACTAATCTCACACGACGAGTTCATGGCTTTCGTAAAGGGAGGAGCGTCGCTTGACTTAAATGCTGTCACACCTAAACCGTTCAAATGGATCTTAGATATAACATGGCTAAACCTAGTGGAGATAAGCAAACTAAAAACTTTCACAGACGTTCTTCATAAAGTAAGCAAAAATTTATACGTTTATTATAAGAATTACACGTCTACTAATAAATAAATATTCCTTATTGCAGATATCTACTAACGAAAAAGAATGGCGTGTTTGGTATGAGAGGGCAAAGCCCGAGGAGGAAATTATTCCAAGTGGTTACAATGAGAGCCTTGACGTCTTCCGTAAGCTGCTACTAATAAGGTCGTGGAGCCCCGACCGTACCCTTTCACAAGCAAGAAAATACATTGTTGGTATGTGAAATATAACTGTAATATCTTTCCAATCACGCTGTTATGTTATTTCATTATCGTTATTCTGATTATGTCATTTAATCAATGCATTTTTCTAAGATTCACTTGGTGCTGAATATGGAGAAGGTCGTATACTTAACCTCGAAAGCACATGGGAAGAATCAGAGCCCCGCACTCCGCTTATTTGTATCCTTTCAATTGGATCAGATCCTTCCGCACAAATTGCGACGTTAGCAAAATCAAAAGAAATTGGTGAGTCTACGATAAATGATAATATTATTTAGCTCGAAGTATTTAAAGACATGCCAAGACTCCAATACGTGAGCAAGTGTGAATCTAAGTGGAGATGTCAGAAATGTTAAATTATTCGCAATCTTTTTCACTTTTAATTTTGTTGTTACAGTTTTAAAGGCTGTTTCAATGGGTCAAGGTCAAGAAATTGTTGCTCGCAAGATGATTTCCGATTCAATGAGCGAAGGGGGTTGGGTACTACTGCAAAATATCCACTTGTCTCTGCCGTTTTGCGTGGAAGCAATGGACGCTCTAATCGAAACCGAACACATACAGGAAACATTCCGACTATGGCTAACAACAGAAGTACACACCGATTTTCCTATAGGTCTACTGCAAATGGCGATAAAGTTTACAAACGAACCTCCGCAAGGCATACGAGCGAGTATGAAAAGAACGTACCAAAATATTACTCAAGATACTCTAGATTACTCTTCACTATCGCAGTGGCCTCCACTTTTATACGCTGTGGCATTTCTGCATACGATCGTACAAGAGAGAAGAAAATTTGGACCGTTAGGATGGAATATCCCGTATGAATTCAACCAAGCCGATTATGCTGCTAGCGTTCAATTCATTCAAAATCATTTGGACGAGATCGATCCAAAGAAAGGAATCTCATGGCCTACAATCTGTTACATGTTGGGAGAGGTGCAATATGGTGGGCGGGTTACAGATGACTTCGATAAACGTTTACTAACCACTTTCACCAATGTTTGGTTTTGCGATGTACTTTTAAGGCCTGGTTTTGAGTTCTACAAAGGCTACAAAGTGCCACAAACGAGAAATCTTCAGGGGTATATCGATTACATCAACCAGTTGCCTTTAACTGATACACCAGAAGTATTCGGGTTACATGGTAATGCAGATATTACATATCAGATCAATAGCGCAAAAGACATATTAGACACTATCCTTAGCGTCCAGCCTAAAGAAGGAGGTAGTCAAGGAGGAGAAACTAGGGAGAGTATTGTTTATCGCTTAGCAGAAGATATGTTGGAGAAGTTACCGAAGCAATACGTTAGTTTTGAAGTCAGAGAAGCTCTGCAGAAAATGGGTGCATTTTTGCCAATGAATATCTTTTTGAGGTACACATACAATCTTAATACGCGCTAATATTAATACTGTTTACTTAAATACATAAAATAGTTCATTAAAGTGAAGGTCTTTTTGCCCCACTTATTAATTTTATTCAAATCCCTTTTACTACTATGATTCACACTGTCTATTAATCAGAATTTGTTCTTAATAAATTTATGCTTGTGATATGAAACCGTACCTATATCTAGTGTAGTAGGTTTTTTTATGTGAAGTTTCCAAACGAGCAGACGGTTCACCTGATGTTAAGTGAATACCGTCGCCCATGGAAGATATCCAAACCGTCGGCTTTGCAGATATGTTGACAACCTTTTTGAAAATTGGTCTCCGGCTACCTCACTCACCAGACGAAACGCGAAAGTACTGGACTTCTACTTTACGCCAGTCTTCTTTGAGGTTATGGTACTTAACCGGACGAGCCTGCCCATTCGTGCAACGGCCGAGGCTGCTGCGTGGCCCTACCACCGTTATTATATACACCGTTATATATATAGTATGTCTAGTAGCAGTCAGTAGGCACGGCTTAGTTATTCATTATGTTATTCATAACGAATAAACGACATGATTATAAAAAATTCAAAAAAAACCATGCTTTTCTAGATACACTAGACAAACTTGAAAAAAAAATTATAAAAAATTAATAAAAATGCTTTTGTAATTAAATCTCACTTTTAATCTTGCTGCAATTTTGTAAAATAAAGGTTATAAATATACTAAAAATTAAATCTACTTATAAGAATAATAAATACTTTTGATTTACAGGCAGGAAATAGACAGAATTCAACGAGTTATCAAAACTGTATTTACAACACTATGTGATTTAAAATTAGCTATTGATGGCACAATTGTAATGAGTCAAGGATTGCGAGAATCATTGGATGCAATGTACGATGCAAGAATCCCCAATCAATGGTCAAAGGTAATTTTCCGAATTTAAATATTTATACTCTATAAAGGCTAATCTATCATAGCATATATTTATATACTTTTTTATTACTTCTCTGAGACTTAAGTTTCCGGTAAAGCCGATAATATCCCCCATAAAAAAACATATACGGTCGAATTGAGAAATCTTCTCCTCTATTATAGTGGGATAAATAAATAATTGTAATAATTGTACTTGAAAGGAAAATTATGTTTTATCTTAATAGGTGTCATGGGAATCGGCTACATTAGGATTTTGGTACACGGAACTTCTGGAGCGCGAAGAGCAATACAGGGCTTGGTTGCGTAACGGCAGACCACAAACATTCTGGATGACGGGCTTCTTTAATCCACAAGGATTCCTTACCGCTATGCGACAGGTGAAGGACTTGAGATTTATATTAATATTGTTCTTAAAAATAATCACTATTACTCACTCACTGCATTGTATGCGACATTCTAAACACGTAATTGGCTCAAGACTAAAATGCAGTCCGCGTTGCAGATAAATATAATAGAATTACTTGTTCCATTATCACTCTTGCCCCGTTCCTATATTCAACGAACGGCCATTAGTTACATAGCTTCGTAACTTTCATAACGACGTGTAGACTAAAGGAACGCTAGTAACTCACTTTCCGTAGGTAATGCAACGGCTCATAAGGAAAACGCCTTGTTTTGTTAATATAGGAACCAGGCGTACACTTTTATCGAAACAAGACGTTATGAAAGTTACGAGGCTATGTAACTAACGGCTGTTCGTTGAATATAGGACCCGGGCAAAGTCGTAAAAATTGTTTTAAACATTATTTTCTTTATATTTGATATTCTTTTTAACCACTAGGAAGTAACGAGAAGTCACAAAGGCTGGGCTCTAGATTCAGTGGTATTACAAAACCACATAACCAAATTCAATCGAGAAGATGTGCACGAAGGACCAGCAGAGGGTGTCTACGTTTACGGATTGTTTCTTGAAGGTGCTTTCAGTACGATTTTTATAAGTTTTAAAAGTTTCCATTGTTCTAAGAGGATAAGTACCACCTTAAAAAATGTATGTTACAGGCGCATCCCTAGATCGTAAAACCGGGAAGCTGATTGAATCAAAAGCAAAAGTTCTCTACGAGCAAATGCCGGTTATATACATTTTTGCAATAAACACCACCGCCGGGAAAGACCCGCGACTTTACGAGTGCCCTATTTACAGAAAACCCCAGAGAACAGACGCAAAGTACGTCGGTTCTATCGACTTTGAAACCGACAGCAACCCTCGCCATTGGACATTGAGGGGAGTAGCACTATTGTGTGATATAAAATAAAATGAAACAAAACGTTCACAACGACTTTTTTCACAACATTCGTATTAAAAAAATCACAAAAAATGCCACATGTTTTAAGCATATAAACTTAATTTCAAATATGGACTCATTATAAATTAAGATGTTGTACAACAAAGGTCCACCTTATATAGTACGAGTCGCTTAAAGGAACTTCTTGACTTCATCGTACAAGACAAGGACGAAAGCAGCTCCAGTACCCCTGAGAATATTCGAGAAGGCGCCTTTAAAAAAAGCGCCTGGGCCTTCCGTGCGAAGAATCGTAGCCCAGCAGTGGGCGGTACTTTTATATTGCCGTTCGTGTACAGGTCTTCCCGACTGCATCATCATTCTCCTACGCACGGTGTCTAAGGGATAAGACGTGATACCAGCGACGGTAGTTACAGTCTGCCGAATAGAAACAACCTTTATAAGCCATTTTATAACAATCTATTTTATGAAGTTAAATGTACAAAAGTTTAAGTAAGGATAAATAAATAATTAGTCACTTAAAATTGTAACGGGCCTTTTCTTCGGCCATCTAAAATTATAGCATATATTTCAGTCGCATTCTAAATCTCACTGTAGTATTTTCGAATAATTGAAACGAGACTGTTGTATTGCAAAACCGAATAGAATTACTTCGCATTCATCATTCCATTTATTTTTTGAGATTAACTTAAGCTTCTTCCGGTTAGGAGGAAGCCAGAGATAGTGCTGTCATTTCACCGACCATAATAAATACGTGCTAAGGATGTGTTTCGCCTAATATGTCCTCAGTATAAACCACATTAACCCCTACATGGGGCTTGTCTGACGAAGCGCTAAATATTTATAATCGAAAAGGTCATATTGATGCGAATATTACACATTTTAATCATAATTATCATTTAGCCTTTTCGAGTCCAATGTAGTTAACTAGTTACATATACATATATGCCGTATACATTTTATTTATTTATTTTTAAAAAACATTGCCCTTACTTTAGGATAACATTATCCTATGTTAAAATACCTTTCAAATGATGTAGCTTTCTAAATTTAATTTGTAAATTCGGCCCTTGTTTTAATTAGTCGAAAAAGGTAGTCGTTTTAGGTCGTTTCCTGATTCATTTCTCTATTTTCATAACAATTACTAAGAACTTCAATTGCGTTCAAGACGTTAACGAGAAATAGGAAGTAGTAATACCTGTGCTATCATCCAAGATATTAGTATAGGCGTGTTCTTTGGATCAGGCAGCATGCCACGCGCTGTGTCGTAGTAACCGAAATATGCAGCCCGGTAAATGATGATACCTTGCACAGAAACAATAAATCCGCGATACAATCCTATAGGGCCATCGGACTTAAACGTTTTTACTATACAGTCGGTTAAGCCGGTAAACTCTTTAGATTTTCCCTTTCCTACATCCGTAGCCAATCTGAAAACGAAAATTTGTGAATATTAAAGAGCAAGGTATTATTCTTAAGTTATTATCAATTTATTTCATAGTAAATTACAGTTTTGATGCATTTGGTATCGCTCAATGCATTATTTAAGTTTTATTTTTGTTTTTCTTCATTGGGCAATAAATTATATTCATTCATTGATTCAAGTAGGTACCTGGTTCGCGCATAATCTAATGGATAAACGAAGCATAACGATGTCGCTCCGGCAGCACCACCAGATGCCAAGTTGCCGGCAAAATATCTCCAAAATTGAACATTTTTGTCAACGTCTTTAAGAAAAAATTCCTTGTATTTATCCCTAAAGGCGAAGTTGAGTGCTTGAGTAGGGAAATATCTAAGGACATTCGCAAAATTGCCTCGCCAGAACGACATTATCCCTTGTTCCCTCGGTATGCGTACAATCGCATCCATAATTCCTAGAAAAAAAATGAAATTATTCACACAAATACGCATTATAAATAAAGCAAATTTAAACATCTTTGTCCTACCTTTGTACCGTTTATCCTCCGAAATCTGTTTCGAAACATGTTGCACTTGCAAAAGTAACTTGACTCGCTCTATTGGCGCAACTGCAGTTTTTGAAACCGCTGCGGAAATACCACCAGCAAGGAAATCCTTAAAGAATGCACTACTGCCTTTGTCACTCTTCTTTTCATCTTTTTTCTTGTCTTCCTTACCTGTCATTGCAATAGCTGCTAGGATATTTTTCTCGTTCCAAAGGTACTGGTAAAGAGTGGTAGTTGTTCAAAGTTTAGAAAGCTAATAAGTAAGGCTCGGATAGAAGAAGTTAAAAGTTAAAACCCTACCTATAGCTTTCCACTTCGAAAAACTAGATTGTAACTTCCAAAATTTATGAAATAATAATTTGACTGATTAAAATCTGTGACACATTTGACAGATTGCATAGAATGATTGTTTTTCTTATTTCTTTTGAATAAAGAATTAATAAGAGATCTCCTTGAATTACATACAGTGCCCATAAGACAATCACCGTGCCTTAATAACAATAAAAAAGAACTTAAAACAGAAACAAAAACTTTTATTCTATATACTTAAATATTTGTATTATCAGGAACATACTTTGATAGTACATTATTTATGATTATTATGTTAATACTAGTCTGCACTCAAAATAATATTTAAAAGGAATTCGAAAACGAAAAATTTTCGGCGATCAGGATTTTAACCTGTCTTTTGTCTGGGTAACGTGCCCAGGTTATAGGTTTAAAACCATGTTCATTAATGAATTATGCTTTTTTCTCACTTTCTTTTTGCTAATGACACATTTTGTATTGACAGAATAGTAGGTATATGCCGAACATATCAAGTTTTTATAAAAATTTACAGTAAAACTAATATTTTGTCCTAAAAAAAGGAAAATATATGTGTATCTCTTCAAATGAAAGTTCGAGCAATAGTTTTACCTTTGATAAAAAAATAAGAAGTCCAGATATTGACGGTGGTAGGGCCACGACTGTTGCACAAATGGGCAGGCTCGTCCGGATAAGTACCACGACCTCACAGAAGATCGGCGTAAAGTAGAAGTATGACAAGTACTTTAGGATTTCGTCAGATGAGTGAGGTAGCCGATGCCCAATTTTCAAAAAGTTGTCAACGCATCTGTAACCTTCGAGTTTAACAGATGTCCATGGGCAGCGGTATTCTCTTCATCAGGTGAACCGTCTGCTCGTTTGGCAACTTTTCACATAGAAAAAATTGAGATTTTTTTTTCTCTAGTAATATTGGGTGTATAGTTAAAAAAAAAACATGGCAATGTACGATCACTTTATTTCATAAACTTGTAAGTAGGACTAATTGGAACGGGTACATCATTGAAGTATACACAAATGGTTTACTAAATACAGAGCATTTTATTTCATGACTATTACCAAAATTATTTTTATTCAATCTATTTACACTAAATGATTTTATAATCATTGGTAAAATAGATTAAAAAGTGAAATTTTCTTGTGTTAACAAACAAAATATTATAAGACTTACTTGTCAATTCAACTAATATAAAAATAAATAGAAATAAATATCCATTACAAATTGTTTTATCGGAATAAAATATATTTATAATTGAAATAATTATCAATGCAATTAAATAGTAGTATCTTACTTTGATGTTGTAAAAATATTTGACTATTTATTGCTAAACTGGGTAATCATGTGTATTGCACAATTTAACCACTTCAAACCTTATAATATGTGGTCTTCCAGCAATAGTAAGTCTATGTATGTACGGCTTCCTGCAATGAATTATGTAGGTTTACCTCAACATACAAAATATCAATGTTAGAAATTTATTTGAATGGTGCATTATCACTGTTTTAGTGTTATGTTAGATTTAAAATATAAAGATAGTCAAGAGTAGCTCGTACATCTAAAAAAATAGCTAAGGCAATTTATTTGCGAATTTTTGCTGCGTTATCTGCGTTATCTTTCAGTATCTTCGACTTCAGATGATCCTTATACTTCAAGATCCCGCCATTCCATTTGGTTACAGTGGAATTCTCGCAGATCCAGATTTCTTCAGCCACCTGAAATTGTAACATACCATTTAGTCTGCAACCCAAAATTATTGTGCTTCCAAAGTGACACTATTGCCACATGTAATCGCTTTTAATACCCAAATTTTATTCGATTTATAAGATATATTGGACATATTTTTGTATGGTTATATCCATATTATTTTTTTTTTCATCAAATTTAATATTTTTTCTGACTAGAAGGCGTCAACAGAATCTCCAAGTGTACTAAATATATACACTAAACATCAAAGTTGTATTTAGTGCTGTGAAATAACCTTATACATAATTTATTTTCATTTTAGGTCATATAAAAACTCTCAATGCAAATTATAGTGATTAAATAAAAGCTTACCTGATTAATGAGCCTGAAATCGTGACTGACGAGTACCATGCCGCCATCGAAGTCGTTGATGGCATCGGCCAAAGCGTCGATTGTCTCCATATCGAGATGGTTCGTGGGCTCATCTAACAGCAGCAGATGAGGGGTTTGCCATGCCAGCCACGCAAACACCACTCGGCAACGTTGTCCGTCTGACAATTGGCGCATTGGACAAACCTTTACATAATAAAATATGTTCATAAATTTCTTGAAACAAAAATAATTAAATAAAATAGTGAATACACTTATTGGTTCACTTCATAATATCCAGTAAATACAATAAAAGGAACAAGCATAAAATATGTTTTGTATTTTTTATATAATTAAAATAGAACGAGCTCTCAAAACTTATTCACATAAATGTTCCGAACCGAATTAACTTTGATTATTTTAAAACATGAAGGTACCTGCTGTCTTCCCGTTAGACCATATCGTCCAATAATCTTTCTCATCTCCTCTCGCTCTCGTACCTCGGGGAACTCCTTTAACATATAGTCCAGTGGAGAAAGATCCAAGTCCAAGAGCTCATGCAAGTGTTGGTGGTAGCGTCCAATGCGCAAATGGGAGTTTTTACGTATCATGCCGGTAGATGGCACCAACTGTTAATAGGCCGAAAAGAATGTTCTCTATTAAACTTTTGTAAATTATTACATTATCATAAAATTCACATACAGGTGTTACTTTTGTAACTATGGCCATAAAAAAAATTATGTGAAAAGTTGCCAAACGAGCAGACGGTTCACCTGATGGTAAGTGAATACCACCGCCCATGGACATCTACTACACCCAAGAGTTACAGATGCGTTGACAACCTTTTGCAAATCTTGAGCAATAAATTCTACATAGTAGTATCAGCGCTGGGCAAAGGCCTCCTTTGTAAAGAGGGTATTAGGGCATAGTCCAACACGCGGCCCCCCACTGTGGATTGGCGGACTTAACACATTATCTTCGAAATATTTTTTTTGTTATATTTCGAAAATATGCAGGTTTTCTTACGATGTTTTCCTTCACCGCTGAGCAAGTGATAATTCGGCACTCAAAATTAACTATTTCATTGGTGCCAGCACTGGGGATCAAACTCAGGTTGCTCGAGTATATTGAATTAAAGGTGATTGCCCAGACACTGAGCTATCTTGGGTCAATTCTAAATTCTACATTTGAATGAAATCATAAAAATAATTAAATCATAAATCATATCAGATATTTCTTACATCTCCATAAAGTAGTTTCAGCAAAGTAGACTTTCCAGCTCCATTGGGTCCGACAAGGGCAATCCGGGTGTCCAAATCTATACCAAATTCTAAATTCTTGTAGATCCATGGACTGCTGTCAGAATACCTAAATGAAACATTCTAAAAGAAAAAAACAATTTTTACATTATTCATTGTATTTGTGTAAATTCAATAATAATAAATCATTTTAATATTTTATAAGAAAAATCTAAAATGCAAACATAACTACTTAGATAATAAAAAAGAAATTCAGTAAGCATTATGAAATAAATTACCTGCACCATGATAACAGGTGGTGGTACTTTCCCACAAGATGGAAAATAAAAGTTTAGGATCTTGTCATCTACAACTTTTTCTGTCAGACCTTGTGCAACCATTTTAGCCAAAGTTTTCTCTTTGGACTGAGCCTGACGTGCCAGTTTAGCTGAACCGTGACCAAATCTGCTTATATAATTCTGTTGAAGAAATTGTAAATTTCAAGTAAGCACAAAACAGTTTCTTTCACATTTTAAATAAGCAATACCGGAGCCAGCAGTTTACTTGATATGATTATTAAGCCCTATGCTACAAGAATTAAAATACTTTCAAACTTATTTTAATTAAAAAGTTTGCCTTTTTCTTTTTATGCCGAGAAGAAAAGCAAACTTTTGCTAAAAGATATACCTTCATATGAGCAATCTGATCCTGCTCCCAATTGTATTGCTTCATTTGGTTTTCCAGTAATTCCAGTCGAGTACGTACAAATGCCTCATAGTTTCCTGTGTAGTATTTAAGACGACGTTTGCTCATGTGAATAATGTTGGTGCAAACTCCATTGAGAAAATCTTGGGAGTGAGATATCAGCACGAGAATGCGCTTGTATCTGTAAATATAAAACATACTATAACCTTTATGAAAACTCATAAATTGTCTTAATAAATCTTATAATGATCTCTCAATGATAATAATCTCTCCATTAAATCGCAAAATAAGTACAGACTGTTTAAGCTCTTCTTCAAGCCAAACGCAGGCATCTAAGTCAAGATGATTAGTTGGCTCATCCAGCAATAGTAGATGCGGCTTAACGTACAGCGCACGGGCCAATGCAATACGCATGCGCCAACCTGGAAAGTTGTAAAGGTAAAAAACAACAAAAATCTTTAAATTAAAGCAAAAAGTAAGCATTCAAATTTGTTTAATTATGAATGTATATAATAATTTGTATAAATATATTTCATGACAAGAAATTTATTTAATGGCCTTTATAAATTGTACAAAATTAACAACTCTGCAAAGATGCATTGTAACATTAGTAAATAAAATAAAAAAATTACCTCCAGAGAAATCTTTTGTTGCCTTTTGCTGCATCTCTTTGGTAAAACCAAGACCATTTAGAATATTAGCAGCACGTGCCTCAGCTGTGTCAGCACTTAAATCTTCAAGTCTGTCGTAGACATCCATGAGTTGTTCTTGGGATTCTAAGAAATAGATGATTATTACTTAAATAAAATAACATGATGCTAACACACATGTGCATTGAGAAACGCGAAAAGGATATGAAATTAATTATTTTTTGAAAAATTTAAATTTGTACCATCATCTTCACAATGAGCCAATTCCTCAGCTAGTTTCTCCAGCTTTATCCTTTCCTCATCCACCTCCATTACACACTGCAAAGCAGTCTTATCTGAGGCAGGCATCTCTCGAGTCAGATGGAAGATATCAATATGCTCTGGAATTGGCACTTCACGACGACCAAGTACCGATAGCAGCGATGACTTACCTGTATTACACATATTATTTTCATTTGAATAAATCAATACTTTCTTTTATATACACACATATACCATGCATACTTAATGTTATTTTTGCAAAGCTGTATGTAAATTATTTGTGGTCTACTATAAAGGAATTCTATAAGGCATTTTTTTTCGCATGAGCTTATTTCTAATTCAGCATCACCATATACTTGATGGAAATACTTCTGCAGTAATAAGGTTCAATTAAGATAAATTGCAACACACCATTGCCTTCAAGTGTTTATTAATAAGAAAATGCCCAAGAGCCTATATAGAGACCAACATTGTTGTTTGAGTTGATCAAAGTTTTATATTTCAAGGCTATAATAATTAGTGTCAAACTGATGTTTGGAGAAGTTCAATTGGCAGTAATTTACACCTCAATAGAGGTAAATAATATTGTACTCAACAAATTAAAAAAAATATTATGAAAAATATAACAAAATCAAAAAAATTCTATTTGTATTGCATTGTTTAACAAACAAAGCCTTATTTCTCAAATGTTATCACAAAAGAAACCAAATAAAAACATCCCTAGACATTAATGGTAAATACAACCACTTTCCATGGTTTCCTCAAAGTCTAGCAGAATTTAATCTCATCAAACTAAGTTCATACATGAAACATGTCAATGGCATCATTTAAACCTTATAAATTTTTAATTCATAAGGTAAATGTACATAAAATAAAAAAACAACATTCCATTTTATTGGAGTTTTAGTATATTTCAAATTACATATTGTTATGTGTTGTTTTAATTATTTTTTCTCAGTCTGTTTCTGTAAAATATTTTACCAAGATTTTTGCTTATTATTTAAGAAATTACCTTTACTTTTTAGAGGATATTGTGAAGCTCCTAATGAAAAATTGTGTGGCGGTATGATACATACAGATATTATGTTGAAAATCAAAGCCTTGTTAACTAAGAAAGTAAAATAATAAATTTCCTGTTACTATACTATATTTATAATAGCAAATTCAATGTATTATTCAATCAAGGTAGAAACTATAGATTGTAACAAAAATACTTTTTAAATATATTGATAAAAAATTACCATTAGCGCTGGGTGTTTTTAGACCTAACAACAATTTTGTTTGGTAAAGAAAAATCACTAATGGAATAATCAACAAGCAAAAATCTGCAGTCCACTATAGTTTCGAGAAAAAAAAAAATATTTAAAACTTGATGAAAAAAAAATATTTAAGACTTTATTTTCTTATTAAAATATGTAGAAAATTATTAAAATATGTTATTTTCTATAAAGAAATCCGCCATATTGTTGTTGACAACATATCTTACTTCAATATTATACTTGACTCTTTGTCAGAACTCTTCTGCTTCTAGCTCCGCCTTTTTATATTCACTCTAGAGGTAGGGACCTCAAGACCACAAGTTGAGGTTATCTGTGTCTGATCTGTCTTAATTTTTACAAATACAAAAATTTCAACTGATATAACTTTTTGACATCAAATTATTGAATAGGACATCCTAGTTAAAATTAAAAGTTGTAAATTTTTTTTCTGATTGTCAATTAGGTATTTCATTATTTATCTTTATTGACCGAACAAAAATTTTTGTTAGGTCCAAAAATAGACCCAGTGATAATGGAAAAAAATACCCTACAATTACATACCACAGCCATTTAGCCCAACAAGGCCATATCTTCTTCCACAATTCAACTCTAAAAGAGTATCTTGGAGCAATTCACTGCCATAAAACGTTATGGAAAAATTTGCAATCTTTATGTCTCTGGAACGTGGATGCACAGCTAGAGTTCCAGTACATGATCGTGCCTCAGAATTCATTTTAGCTTCTGCTTCTAGTTTTAAGCATAATGCCTCTGAAATTGTTTTTAAACAATTTCTTAATTAAAACATTGACACTTAAATGGTATTCCAAGGGAATAATCCTCAGTTGCTGACATAACAAATCATTCATAATTGCACAGTATGGTGAAGTCCATTGTGTGCTATTTTGTTTTTTCTTTCCATTCTATGGACTGTATAATGTTAAGTACAGAAATATTTCAACATCTAAAAAGCTATGAAGACATTTGGTGAAGGTAAATATAAAACTAAATAAATAAAAATTTCACCGAAATCAACGTTGTATAACCTTGTTTTCGATTTATGCCGAAAACACTATCCTGGGGTTACAAATACCAAATGGCGAAAGTAATAATACCTTCTGCAGTCAACTCGCGGTCAATAGACCCAGTGCCGTTGGTCGCGGATCCATTCTCCTCCGCAGTTACTCTTGCAACAGGCTTTTTATTACGGTTGCTTGCCTGTTCTTTTTTCTTTTGCTGCGCTCGTTTTTTTGCATCAGATGGCATTTTGTTGAATATTACTCTAGACTGCAAATTATTATTATTGATATCATATAAAATAATTATGAGTTGGTACTGAAGATTACGTTTCAAAGGTTGGACCCTGATTATTAAAATGATTCACTTCGCGATACTTAAACCTATAAACCAAAAAATCAGAACGCGCTTTATAGCCTATCCTAGACAAATTATGAAATTATAACAAACTGGAACAATAATTAACATCAATGATAATTAATAAATTATTAAGTACCTATGCTGTACAATAAAATTATAGGCCAGTTGACCGCGTCTACACGTGCCGCTTTGAAAAGAAAGACAAATTTCTAAAGACCGTGAATGGTCTGATTCAGTGTATTGACAGTTATTAATATTGACATCCCATGTGCCAGGCCGTCGTTACAAAAATTCACCAATCAGTGAACGATGGAGTAGAAAATGTACTATTATGATTGGTTCAATAACTTAACAGTGTGACCATAGAAGAACAAACTGACATTATCCTGCTAAGTATATAATCTGTAATTTAAATTTTATAAATGATCTAGCACTTCATTTTTTACAAATTAAGAGTTTGATAAATAATTCATGTGTTGTAAAAAAGAAAGTAATAAATATATAAGAAAAAAAAGTAATAAATACATGAAACAAATTTGATTACATTCGTGAACCCTTTGTTCTAATAAATTATTCATCATCATCATTTCTGCCTGTTATGAATCCACTGCTAAAAATAGTTAATTAGGTAATTATTTTGTAAATTAATTATTGTTTTCATAGTTTAATTTTATGTAACTATTCTTTCGACGTTAGTATGTCGTGTGATTAAATATCGATTGTTAGTAGAGTTGTTCGTCTGTTAACAGAGGTCGCGGAGATGTAATGGAGTGGATGGCGTAGTATCATTGTTATGCAGCAGCTACTCCTGAGTGAGTAGGTCTAACAGTAAACAACACTTATATAAAAATGACATGCAGTCTTTGGAGTCTGCCGATAGAAGTGAAAACTAAGTAAGTTAACAATAAGTAATATACTTATTTATAAATAAAATAATTATTATGTTAACATAATTGTAATAATAATTTAATAATATATAAATATAAGATAAAAATAATTGCGTTGTATGTTGCCAGGTCCTGTCGCCGTCGTTGGTAGCCGAATCTTAGCCGGTGATTCTTAGTACCCCCTGCCCTGCCTTTACACACTCAAACAGGCTAAAATGAAGATGATGAATATGAAAAATAATTAATGAATTAATATAGAAGAGAGAAAATTCGTTAATTGTAATTTTTTTTTCTCAATGTCATATCCGTAGACTTAACTCACCATCTCACTCGCACCCACCCATGTACGAAAGGCGGTCAAAAAGTTCATGGAATGAAACGATTGATGGGGTTGTAGTTTAATTATTCCAGGTAGTCACTATTAGAACTACTCATTAAGGGTAAACGTACCAAATTTGAACGTAATTGGGTCATTAGCTTTTGAGTTTTCGACCAGTCAATCGGGAAGAAATTAGCCACCATGGAGAAAATTAGATACCGCGTAGACATTATGTTCTTTACCAGCAAAGAAAATTACCTCAAACCATTTTCCAAGAGATGTTAGCAGTTTACAGGGATTGTGCCCCTAGGAAAACCATGATTTATAAGTGGCATGGCCTTTTCAAGCAAGGCATCCATCCAAGATCCTCCATTAAAGATGACCATCGCTCCGAATGGCCAATCGAGGCCACCACTCTCTAAATCCTCTCCAGAAATTATCGAGAAAATAGTAAAAATTGTATTGGAAGACGCCCAACTGGAGAAGAAGCAGCTAGCGTCAATGGTTAGAGTATATGAAACGACCTTTTCAACCATCGTACATGATAATTTTGGGATGACTAAGATCAGTACAAGATGGGTTCCGAGAATGCTTAGGCCGCTCCAAAAACGCGAGCGCGTTGTTGGCTCTGTGGAGAGAATACAGAAGAAGTTATTACCCGGATCCTTACTAGAGATGATACTTGGCGTCAAAACAGGAGTCGGTGCAGTGGCATAAAAAAGGCACACCCCTCCATAAAAATACAGGGTTTCTCAATCGGCTGGGAAAATCGTGGCGACGATCTTTTGGGATTCAGAAGATATCTTAATTTTGGATTATGTAGAAGGACGTGTCACTATAACGGGCCATTACTACGCTTTCATAATTGAATGCTTAAAGGAGTCTATCAAGGAAAAAAGAAGAGGAAAATTGGGAAAAGAAGTGCTCCTTTCGCACGAACACGCACTCGTGCACACCAGCCGAGTTGCGATTGCTGCTATTCATCGATGCTGCTTCAAACAACTGCAACACGAACCCTGCAGTCCAGACCTAGTTCCTAGTGATTTTTATTTATTTCCAATATTAAAGAAAACGCCCCATGGACAAACATTTTACGACGATGAAGAAGTCAATTCAGAATTCATTTCGACACCAAAGACAAATATTTTGTATCGATTGTATAAATAAATTAATTCATAGATATGAAAATTGTATTAATATTAAGAGAGAACATATAAAGGAAGATAATTTGATATTTAATTTCACCCCCTGTCATATAGCGAACTTTTTGACCTCCCATCGTATATACTGCCTGCATGCTTGTCTGGCAATGCATTAATTATCGCATTGCATTATAAATCTTGGCATGCTTTTAAAAATGACTGGCTAGTGAGGAAACATCATTTACTTATTACCTAAGTATTATATTTATACTAGCTGACTTTTTATACTTGCTCTATTAGTATCGACAGAGAAGTTTTGCTAAAAAGATGATTATAGCTGCGTGAATTAAAATCTAAGTTACTTATTCACAATCACACACAACAAAATATGACAAACCAAAATGGAGTACGATGCACGTTATAGGTTTTAAATAAAAATAGGTTATGTTAATTGGTATTATCAATATCACTAATGACGACTAATGTCTAAGAAGTTTAAAAAATATTTGATGTTTCATCATTGCACTACATTACTAGCGTATTACTACTCTACAGTGGTAGGGCCACGCAGCAGCCTCGGCTGTTGCACGAATGGGCAGGGTCGTCCGGGTAAGTGCCACGACCTCGCAGAGGACCGGCGTAAAGTGGATATATAATATTTCCGCGTTTCGTCTGGAGAGTAAGGTAGCCGGAGCCCATTTCAAAAGATCTGCAAACCCTCGGGTATAGCAGATGTCCATGGGCGGTGGTATTCACTTAAAATCAGGTGAAGTACCTGCTCGCTTGGCAACTTTTCACATAAAATAAAGTATAAGCTAGTAGAGTACCTCGATGAGTATCACACATTCTTATTTAAAAAATATTTACATTTAAGTACTTCACCGATCAGCATTCATGAAATGATATGACATCTGATCTGATAGGTATAGATATAAGAATCATATTATATGAACTTCCATATTTTTGAAACGAAGTATATCTTTGTTTCAATTATTGACATGTTCGTTATGAGGTTACATTGACGTAAGAAAACTTATTTGCCCCACAAAAGAGTAGTTATAATCAAATAACATACTTCGCAAGTGTAGAGCTAAAAGAGCACGGGCGAGAGGTAGGCTTTGTGTTAAGTGTGTACTTAACTGCCCGTTCACCGTGTGGTGAAGGGGCAGTTCCTAGAGAATCTACTCGTTATCGAAAGAGCGATTGTAGATTGTAAGAGTAGTCGTAAGACTTTTAATGAATGGGCAACAGTAGGAATCCACCAAAGTAGACGAAGACTGTATGAACTTTATAGTGAAAGTTCATACAACCATCCTAAAACATTTAAAGATTATGTTAAAAGTTATTCAAAAATATTTAAAAAAGTGTGTTTTGCAGCCAAGTCATTACATTGAAGCAATAAAATTAAAAATGCTTCTAATAAAGTAAAAACGATTTAGAATATAATTAATAGTGAAACGGGAAGGAACAAATCACGTAGTTCTGACTACCAACTTAATATTAACAAATAAAGTTATAACGAATAATCAGGATGTGGCTGAAGTATTTGAGAAATTCTTTAGTGAGATTCCTTTTTTAACTACACTGTCCCTGAATTGTTCACCTGCTGCTACCGAGACATTACTTAAGGTAAATGTAAGTGCTTGCACCACAATCTTTAAATTCCAGACTTTAAATTCAAAAGATATTGTGAAAATGTTTAACTGTATTGAACTTAAGAAAACTGCAGATATATGGGGGATGTCCGTTTAAGTGACTGCTTCAATAATAGATGTAATTGCACCTCATTTGACTATAATATTTAACAATTGTGTAGAAGCTGGCGTATTTCCCGATTTAATGAAACACAGTAAAGTCATACCATTATTTAAATCCGGTAGTTCTTCTGACCCCACTAACTTTAGACTTATTTCTATTCTACCGACTCTTAGTAAATTTTTATTGATCAGCTGTTAAGAGGCTTTAAACAAATTATTACACAAGTCAGTTTGGTTTTACAAGGGGTCGTTCTACAACCGATGCTGGTGCAGAACTGATTAAGCATATATTTGAGGCTTGGGAAAATTCACAGGATGCCCTGGGTGTTTTTTGTAATCACTTCACGTGTTTTCAATAACACTTATCAGGAAATAACGCCATTATGGCATTAAAAATACCGCGCTTGACTTGATTAAGTCATATTTAAATAATAGAATTCAGAAAGTTGTAATTAATGATTTCTTCTGGGTCGATGATATCAATGGGCGCAAGACTCGATTCTCGGCCCATTCATTTTTCTCATTTATATTAATGATTTACCCTACTTAGTAGGAAAAAAACATGACATAGTGTTGTTTGCCGATGATACTTCATTAATCTTAAAAATTGCGCGTCATTAATCTTTTAAATAGCGACGAATTGTAATACTTGACGAGGTAAATCATGCTATGTCAGAAAAAGTTCATTGGTTTAATGCTAATAATTTACTGTTAAATGGAAATAAAACTAAATGTATCAAATTTTCGACACCTAATGTTAAACACTTGGGTGGTGCCAATGTACTTATAAATGGTGACGAGTTAGTCCTTGTGGATACCACTGTTTTTTTTTAAAAATAACTCTTGATTCAAAGCGTCAATGGCCCCATATATCCAAACTTGCTAGCAGACTAAGTTCTGCAGCATATGACTGATCTAAATACAGCTAGAATCGTTTATTTTAGTTATTTCCATAGCATAATGTCATACGGTATTTTGCTATGGGAGCATGCAGCCGATGTTGAAACAATATTTATTTTGCAAAAAAGAGCCATAAGAGCAATTTATAATCTTAATTTGAATGCATCTCTGAGAGAGAAAATTAAAGAAATAAATATTTTAACCTTGGCCTCTCAGTATATATATGAAAATGTAATGTATGTACATAGTGACATTAATAATTTTAATAAGAATACTGATGTACATAATGTAAACACTAGGAACTACTAGGAACAAACACTAGCTTGTAACGCCAGTTACTAGACTCCATAGGGTCAGTAACTCGTTCGTGGGGCGGTGTATACGCTTCTACAACAAAATCCCACTTAATGTGCAAAGCCTATCGATTAACAGGTTATTCCCTAATTCCGAGTTATTCCCTGATGTAGCCATTATACTAAAATTTGAATTGAATTGAACAGGTTTAAGAAATTTATTAAAGAAAAACTTTTTAAAAGGGGTTATTATAATATTTAAATGAATACATTAACGATAATAACCCCTCGGAATGAGATGAAAAAAATATGTACTGAATGTATTTGTTGAGAATAAAAAATGACAAAAAATTGGATACCTACGGAGTTTCTTTCGCCTGTTTCTTTTCCCTTAGAGGAATTTCATTACGTAGCGGTAGTAGATTTAAAAAATGACTATCGATAAATGTAATGTATATTTCTTATTTCCATGAATAAATGATTTGAATTTGATAGAAAGGCACGGATGGTGTGTACGAGCTTGTCTAGTATGTTGGTCGCAAATAGTTTTTGGAGCAAGCCTTAATTAAGGCCAGGTATTGTCGAAAACAGGATTCGAACCTGCGTCTTCCGATTTAGCGCCCGGACGTTTACCAACTAAGCGGTCGATGAGCTTACACCAAAATCTCGGACTCTAAGAGGCGAACGAGCATGAATTTCATGTGATGCTTAAGGGAAAGCTGTCCCAATGTTTTAGAAATTGTCCATTGCTTTTTAACCGATGTTTGGAATATTGCACATTCACAAGGATAGGTAAAGGAAGTTTAACATTTATTTTACATCGATCTTCTCGAAATCGTCAAGTACCAGAGTTCTTCGGCTTGAGTTCGCCCACTCGGCAACAAAAACAGCCACTGCGGAACTCATAAATAATTAATAAGGAGGAAAAATGTAATAAGGTACATGTCAACTGTTAATATTTTAATATATAACACACATTTCAACAAAATAATTTCACATAAAAATGAACCAATATTATATGCTACCTGTTACATAATTTAGATCTATTGATTGCAGCATTCATAAGGCATGTTGTGTTAAAAATTTGTCATACGCATTAAATGCAAGGCAATATTTTGGAGAAATTATTATTTTTAACGGTACTCTTCACTTAACATTTATTCATTTCGCAATTTTCACAAGTGATACATTTAAATTCAATGTCAAAATAATGAATGTATGTATACAACACTTACATCGGTATAAGGCAAAATCGAATGTGTTAAGATAACAAGTGGACAAGTCTGTATAACGTCTATTTGAATATATTTTAATTATGAAAAATGGAATTTTATAGATAAAAAAAAATTATTATGTAGTCTATGGACAATATAATGGAAAACTTCATATATTGCTATTTTATTGCTAAGACTGTGTAAGCAAGTGGCAGTTCAAGCACTGTCTATCGCCTATTGATTTTATAAGGCATTCATACACAGATAACTCTAAATACAATCTAGATAAATATGCCTACTAAAATATCCTTATAAACTTGATCTAAAACGTTTTTATATTTCTTTAAACAATTTAATACTTTAAATTCCACTTTGTGGCAATACACAAATGACTGAAGCATAATACACAAAAAACGGCCTAGCAATCTAGCTGAATGCAATAAATAGTTCTAACAATTCCTTTACTATCTATCTAAATATTTGTTTAACAATAATTATTAGGACTTATAAATAGTATATATTTCGAGTAAAATTTTGGAAAGACTGAAAAATATTTTTTTTATTTTCTAACTTTATTGCTAGTTTTTCTTCGTTTTTTATCAGCATATAAGCTTTTCATTAAGTAATTATTAAAGCGATTATGATTTAAAAGACGCCTATTTAGCCCTGTCATAAATTAACCTTCCATTAACCTTCCTTCCATGAAATCATCCTATTTCCACAAAATTTGTGGAAGTAATCGAAAACGAAAAAAAATAATTTAAATAAACCAAATTAACTATTTTTTAGTAAACGACAATAATATTATTTTCAACATTACCGCAGATTGTTAAAAACATTAGGTTAAATAAAATAATGATAATAAATATAACTGTGTGTTACAAAATAGTAACAGATCTTAAGTATAAAGTGATTAGACTTTATTTTACTTTTTAGAAAGACAAATTACAGTGCACCTTCAATATGAAACAATATTTAAGTGTAGCGAAATTCTTTCTACTATTTATTATGAACAATTGTGACCATCAAAAAAACAATTTAAATACTATTTACTATTTAAGATTCATACAATTCAAAACGCAGACTATTAAGTCAAGCAATATGTAAAATGGTAGAGGAAAACTAACCTAAATATAACTATTAATGAGAAGTAATAATAAAAATGACTTTAACATTAACAAAGAGCTTTCATATATAAAATAATACGTATATAGTTTTATTCGCTGTATTACGGCAGTATACATGTTGTAATGCTCAGGCTATTACGTGGATGCGAAGTAGTTAAATGCTACATTGTCTGTATTAAATTCGCTTGTGGTCGTTTCACTTAAAATCTCATCCTCACATTGTCGTATTCGCGCATTATTACTACCGATCACAGGTCAATTATATAATTTTGGGATAAGTTTGCTATTTAAAATTTAGTCTTCAAATAACATCAATATATCATTAAACATTTGTACATCATTTCTAACAATTCTATAACGAACAATAGAACAGCAGAAACCATGTCAATAAGATATTGTCACGAATATAAATCGTAAAACTCTATAACCTATTGCCATGTTATCATTGTAAAGCAATGTAATAAAATATTTAATAAAATACCGTCACTGTATATAGCGGACATATAATCGACCTCATGTTTAAGACAAACATGTACTTAAATCGTAAGGCAAAAGGAAAAAAAATCAAATAAAAAAAAATACAATTTATTTCAATCACAGATGCAAACCGAGCGTAGGCCGGCGTGTAACATATACGGACAAAACCACAACACCAGCCAACGTGTTAAAATGCAACCATTAAGCGAATTGACATTATAAAATTGTCTACCATCACAGCCCTAAGCGTTGCTAGGGGTATCCGTCCATAAGTTCTAATTATAAAAAAAAAAAAAAAAAAAAAAAAAAAAGAAACCAACCAAAATAAATAGTGAACCTAAATTACACGAGAGCCATTCACAATCAAATGCAATAAAATTTTGCTAACATGCTTAGAATAGAATGTGATGAGGTCGGGGGAGGGAACGAGGCTCGAGGCGGTCGTTTACTTTGTCACCGCACCGCCAGTCTGCGGGTGAGCTGGGCGCGCGTCCATCACGTCATGTTCACGCCGAGCGACCGGCTGGCGTATTCGTACACCACGTACGAGATGGAGACCGCGGGTATCACTTTGATGAAGTTGGGCGTGATCCCCCTGTACAGTCCGCAGACACCCTCCCGCTGTACGATGTCGCGGAACACGCCGCGCATCGTGCCCTCGGCGCCCTTCGCTGCCTTCTCTGTGGGCAATACAAAAACGCACCCATCAGCCGAGGCCGCCGCCATTTTCCCGCTATTGATGGTATAAACGGCGGGTTTAAATTTTGACCGTGAGCCGCGTGAGGCCAACAAATGAATCGGGTTTCTATAATTTTATACTATTTCGGTAATGTTGCGCGAATGGACACACTTGTTGGGGAAAGTACCGCGAAGTGTAGGTGTTATAACTTCGCGTTTCGTCTGGTGAACGAGGTAACTGGATCAAATTTTATTAATGAGTGGCAACGTAAGCCAATGTTGCAAATCCATGGGCAATAATTACTTAACATCAGGTAAACCACCTACTCGCTTAGCAACTTTTCACATAAATATCTTTCAAAATTCCCCTATTCAGAGATCAATCCATCTCTAAAAAGAAAAAGTTTCAGAAACGTCTGGAGTCTGGATCAACACCTTGGTAGATCGAAATCAATATGGTGTCTATTCGTGTGTCAAACTTAACCCAAGTCAAACAACTGTCTTAACTGTTCTTAAAACAAAAAAAAAACCCTAAAGAAAATTCCCCTATTACTTCACTCATTTATTAACTTAATTCATTTATATCTTGCGAAACTCCCATTTTTTATTACACAAACAGCTTTATGAAACTTTTCGCGTAGCTTCATTCAATGCCAGAAGTTTCATGTGTGTTTGTTGAACACAAATTATTTACCTACTCACCAGATATCTTTATATCTATCTTTTTTATAATAAGTTGTAAAAAAGCAACATCGTTTGCTCCAAAAATGGATGAGGTTAAAGTATAAAAATATTATTTAGCCCCGAAATATATATCTTTGACACGATTTTTTTGTTTTTAAATCTTGGAAGCAAATTCAACGAAATTGCGAGTGTTTAAATATTCGCAGTAAGATTTTTAAATTAAAATATACAAGTAGGGCGTGGTCCAGCAATGAACAAGTGATATGAAAGTCTGTCCTTATCCCACCAAGATATATCACTAAATATCACAGCATAAAATCTTGTCACGCGTGGAAGTCGAAGACACGGCTTCAGTCAATAGCTTGTCAGCTGCGTCGACGGGTCGTCAGTGATGATGAGGTGATCGAGAGACTTATTTAGGGAGCGTAATTACCTTGCGCCTGCAACCTGGTCCTCACAAGGGCGAGCGGGTAGGAGCAAACTTGTCCAAGAGTGCACGACGCGCTGCCGCACGCGAGTAGCAGAAGCATGCCGGGCTGGCCGTTATGTGCTTGGTATTTGCTAATATACTTCTTCTTGAGTGTCTCGTACACCGCTAGATCAATGCCCGCGTAGGGCACGATGCCCAATATATTTGGAATGTAACCTTTGTAGAAACACTTGAGGCCCTCCCTGGCGTATATCTTCCTCGCCGCATCCACGATGCCGCTATACTGTCCCGTTTTCCTTAAAGCTAATCTTGTCTTTAGCACCTCCAATGGGTAGATCACAGTTTGACTAATTGCACCGGCGGTCGCCCCGGCGACGAACCGCTCGTGTATTGCGAGCGGGTGATTTTTCTTGTCACCCTTTATCAGCCGCTTCACTTGCTCGTAAGCGGCGAACTTTAACGCAGACTCGGGGGCTATTTTGATCACGTTTATGCCGTTGCCCCGCCACAGGCCGCTTATGCCGCCCTCACTAATCATTTTCGCTAAACACTTGGCCATATTTTCTCTGGTGGGATTCACCTGAAACAATTTACGGTAAGTTATGATGTTAGCACGTCGTTGATACTATCCGGCTTCTCGTACGTTCGATATTTTTGTTCATTTTATGTAACTGATTAAATGTCTATTGTTAACTTCTAGACATAGTTATTCAATTGTATGCTTTCCCTTTAAGTCCTATGGTATATGTAAATTTAAGATAAAATAAATGCCACAACTAGGCAAAATTGCTATTATTGTGTATGGAGCACACTTATGTGTGACATACGTGAGTTACGGTCGTAGACCGTCTAATAAGTACATACAAAGGGAGCGGCGTGAGCCACCCTGGAACACAGTCCAATATGTGTATTGACTTTCGATTTACCGTCTGACTCCCATGGTCATTTAATGTCTAATCGATATTATCTAACGGTGCACCTAAACTATAAAAGTAACAGTACAAAGTAACAATATGTTCCTTTTTACTAGGGATTGCCTAGACCTTGCCTGCTGTCTCTCTCAAAGGTAGATAACGATGCAGCCATAGATTGTAAAATCACTAGTTCAATAAATGCCCTATTGTGAGTGAAAACAAGCACTAGGTTTTCCTTCACTGCCGAGCACGTGATAAGTCAGCATTTAAAATTGCAAATAACAAATTCATTGGTATCAAGCGCGCATACAGGAAAAATTGAGAATCAAAAAATAGTATCACATGATTGTCGTCGAATCGCATAATAATAAGTTACTTATCTAATATGCATGCTGTGGCATCAACTATAAAATATATTAAGTGATGTTGTACCTGAAGGAACACTTTCAGTCTGTCTAAGGGAGCTGTGCAGGTTCTACTGACGGCGCCGGCGATGCCACCGGCAAGCAGGTGTCGCCACCATTTACCAGTCTGCAGTTCACTCTGTGTGAAGTCATCAGGGACGTTCATGTCCTCGCCAATGTCCAAATACTGTAAAGAGTATACATACATTTCCGTTACGTAATTTAATTAGTAATCAAACCAATATCCCACCAATAAGACTATCCCAACTTTTTTTGTTGCTGGAACATACTGGGTTACAACAAAATTGTTGGGTTTGAGGGGCCTTTACAAATCCACCGAGCTTGAGTTGGCCGGGCGCTGAGGGCGCCTAGCCTGTACCTCGATTATGGGTTTTTTATGGGTTCCGGTAAGCCCGAGGGCTCCCGAGGGAGCCTAGGCTCGGAACGTCACGCTATTATGATTTTCTCCGGTTTGGGAGGCCGCCATGCTCTTAGATCGCGTTTGAAGACGGATTCACGTATTAGCTAGGCTCAAGGGGACGTCAGCTCGGCCTGTTACTCAGTACCCGTTTAGCATTCCTATTCAAGGGTGCCAGAGAGGGCCGGACCTCGGCTCGATCGGTAGCTGTAGTCCGACTAAGAATTTACCCAACGTTAATAAATTAATAAATGTATGGATGTACAGAAACACAAGTTGGCGTGATTAATATCATTATCTAATAGTTTATATTAACAGTAACAGATATTACGAGTAATACTGTACATATTATTATATGCAGCATATTTTTTGTGTTAAAATAATTTTGTCATATCACACACATGACAAAAAAGATTTTCTCCCGACGCATAGAAACGTTATTCCGGCCATATAATTTTATATTATGTTGTACTTTGAATAAAACTATAATTGTATAAGTACTAACATTGTAAATTCGTAACATATACTACTATACAAATATATATATATATATACATATACTACTATACAAACCCAAAACCTAGTACCTACATCAGTTTGGTCTATATATATATAATTGTATGGAATTTACGACAAAGAAGCAGGAGTAGAGTTTCTTTGTTATAATGGCGCAGTAAGCGTTCTCGGAATATTTGTTTATTAATACAACCATTTGTACGGGCGTAACCTTTCTGAATAGAAACATTGTGGCGATCAATAATTTGAGCATAATATATACATGCTATCAAATTTCGAGAAAAGTGTGACCTACTGTTCCCAGCACAACCGGAAACATCGCTGGTAGTTAGTGTTTTAATTCGTCGCAAGCTCCAAAACGGACACATGATGGAACGATTTCATTAGAAAGTGACATTTGCATGTTGATGTGTCGCCGTTAGTAAGAGTTGCAAACGCTATGGTTTTATTAATCTGTACAAATCGAAACCTCGGAACAATTGTGTCGTCGTACTAAATAAGATCATTAATAAAATCTGTGTAGTGTTCGTGTTACGTACCAATGCCAATTCAAACATTTTGGTAACATTTTGTTCGTTAATAGCGAACGCCAAGATGTCAAGGGCATAACAGTGCGTAACGGTTTTGTACATAGAGAGGCAAGCGTTCCACCGATCCGTTACCGCAAGGTCAACTGATGACCTTACTTTCCTCTCTATAATTTTGATAAATTAATGTAGGTGTATGCAGTAGAGTATTTTTAATAATGAACTTTATTGACGCGTGCTACGCCGCGTTTAGTTTTAGTCCATTTAGGTAAGGAGGTCAATGTTATAACCGAAAAAATGCATCAACTAAATTGATATATGTTTATTCGGCCGGTATTGAAACGAATACAATTCAACAAAGAGTAAGACGGAGTTCATATGGTTACAAAAATATAAAATTCAAAGGAAAGTTACTTTATTTTCGAAGGATGTACTAATTATGTACCGTTGTTCTGTTACGCTCATAACCTTATGTACTTACATAAGGTTATAACTAACAAACTTTCCATATTTATCCAATAATACAATTTTCTGAGAAACATTTAGCGTCAATTTGCTGTCGTTGAATGATTAATGTTTCAATTGACGTTTTAGAGCATGACCATTCTACGTGATGTTGACGACAGCCTCGGACTGTTAAGGTTCATCTTATATAAGTTGTTTTTGCGATAATAATAGAGATGTAAGTACTGATGCTATAATAGATTTTAGCTGTGGTACCCTCAGGCTTCCGTAAACTGAAAAGGTAACAGTTCTGCCAAACAGTATCTCAACCGTATCGTTTTATCTAGACCCAGATCTGAGCTGCTTTAGCATATTTTAATAAACTTTCAAGAAATACAAAAAACCTGACGAAGATCTAGGTTCCACAATGCCATATGGAATTAATACCTACAAAGTAAGAATTTCTCAGAAAACATATTTTCAATTTTTATATGTATTTTAAATGTTTCATGTAATGGCATAAATTTATTAAATAGCTTAAGAATTTTCTCGAGCAATAAAGATGCGATAATGTTTGTTCACTATCAAAAGAACGCGATAAGTGAAATTGTAGGTACCGGACCTGATGTTGTATCATATTTTAATAACCACAGCGACACGATGACAATGCAGCAATCGCTCCAACTTCTTTATTTTATCATGCATTACTTTCTTTTCTGATAAGAAGACAAGCGTATACAGCGAGAACTATCAATCATATCAGCTGTTTAATGCATAATGCTGTCACCGTCGCCGCGTGAGGCAGAAATTCGCGGTTATAAAGTTTTATCTGAATAGGATTTCCCCGTACAAAGTTTCAAACATGGCGGCAGCGAGAATGACGCAATCAACTACGCGTGTGTCACCGTCACAGGTCCAACGTCGGTGTGAACTGTGACAGTTTGAGTCAGCGAGTATTATAGAACTATGGACCCGCTCCGCTCATTCGTTAGATTAAAAGCGCCGGGCTTAAGCGTATCAGTTACTGGATCCGGTATCAGTCCGTACTTTTAGTTACTTCATCGGTAACGTTTTCGTTGAATAACAACTAATTATTTAGTACAGTTTTGTTTTGTAGTACTCTTATAAAATTTTAACCTACTCAAAAATAATTTCATGTCATATATATTATAAATATGGTTGTCACAGTGCCCGGAAATTTCAGCTTTAAAATAATTGTTAGTACACAAACAGCAACTAAACATTTGACAGCATAAGCATTACAACAGTCGCCAGCATTCCTATCAGGAGTCTATGTTAAATGTTTATTGCACGATGCAATTTTACATGACATTAGACATAATACAGCTTATTTACATTGCTTAATGTTTCAAGTTGATAACTTACTCATAAAAAATAAGATTCAGATACAATAACTCACAACAATGTATATAAACGCAATTTCATTCGAGTGCTGGAACTATACATAACTACATAACAAAGATAATGACAAAGGGATGATTACAGGAAACGAAGTTCATAAAATAAAAAATAAGCAGTATTCATAGCAGTATTATGAATACATTTGCATAATCGTATTATATTACTACACAAACCGATGTTATGAGAACACTTCTATATTCATCATCATCATCATCATTTCAGCCTGTAGGCGTCCACTGCTGAACATAGGCCTCCTCTAGGGATTTCCACTTCGATCTGTTTGAAGCGGCCTGCATCCAACGAAGTCCCGCGACTTTGGACAGGTCGTCAGTCCATCTCGCGGGTGGCCGCCCCACACTGCGTTTTCCAACACGCGGTCTCCACTCGAGAACTTTGCTGCCCCATCGGCCGTCAGTTCTGCGAGCTATGTGCCCTGCCCATTGCCACTTCAGCTTGCAGACCCGCTTGGCTATGTCGGTGACCTTCGTTCTTCTGCGGATCTCCTCATTCCTGATTCGATCTCGCAGAGAAACCCCGACAAACATAGCCCTCTCCATTGCCCGCTGAGCAACGCTGAGTCTCTTTAGGAGGCCCATAGTTAAAGACCACGTCTCGGCACCGTAGGTCATCACTGGCAGTACGCATTGGTCAAAGACTTTCGTCTTCAGACTCTGTGGTAATCTGGATGTTAGGACGCTGCGTAGCTTACCGAACGCCGCCCAACCGAGTTGGATCCGTCGAGTAACCTCTCTCTCGAAAATGGACCTATCTAGCTGCACAACTTGTCCTAGATATACATATTCGTCAACAATTTCGAGGGTCGAGCTCTCCACAAAAACTGGGGTGGGCACTACATGGGCATTGGACATGAGTTTAGTCTTGTCCAGATTCATTTTTAGACCCACCTGTTGTGAAACCCGATTGAGGCTTTCTAACATCGTGCTGAGTTCCTCCATCGTCTCTGCCATGACCACAATGTCGTCGGCAAATCGAAGGTGAGTTAAACGTTCGCCATTGATGTTAATGCCGAGTCCTTCCCATTCCAGGAGATTTGAAGGCGTCTTCCATTGCATTGGTGAAAAGCTTCGGAGATATTACATCCCCTTGCCTCACACCTCTCCGCAACAGAATCGCCTCCGTGCTCTGTTCCTGTACTCGGACTGACATAGTGGCGCTATTGTATAAACAATTCAACACTTCGATATACCGATAGTCAACCTGACATCTTTGGAGGGACTGCAGCACTGCCCATGTCTCGATGGAGTCAAAGGCCTTCTCATAGTCCACAAACGCTAAGCATAGTGGCAAATTATACTCTCCGGTCTTCTGTATAATTTGCCGCAGCGTGTGGATGTGGTCTATGGTACTATAGCCTTTCCTGAAGCCGGCTTGTTCGGGAGGCTGGAAGTCATCGAACCTGCGAGCGAGACGATTCGTGATCACCCTCGAAAACAGCTTATAGACATGGCTCAGAAGTGAGATGGGTCTATAATTTTTAAGTAAGGCCTTATCACCCTTCTTAAAGAAAAGCACCACCACACTTCTGCTCCATGCCTGAGGCGTTATGCCTTTGAACAAGACGGTATTAAAAAGCTTCTGTAGGACCTTCAGTATCGGTGTTCCACCCGCTTTCAGAAGCTCTGAAGTAATTCCGTCTTGCCCTGGCGCCTTGTTGCTCTTAAGCTGCTTGAGAGCCATCCTTATCTCGTACAGGCTGATGTCCGGGATATCTTCGGTGTAATGTCGGGCAAGCTTGGCTCTTAAGTCTTTAGCCGAGTTGCTAACGGGCTTAGCAACCGAGGTGTACAACTGTCCATAGTACCGCTCGATCTCCCTCAGCACCTCCGGCTTGGTGGACGCTATACTGCCGTCTTCCCTCTTAAGCTTAGTTAACTGGCTTTGCCCAATAGACAGGTCTCTTGCAAAAACTTTGGAGCCTTTGTTCCGCTCAATCATATCTTTAATATGATTTGTATTAAATAAGCGAATGTCATGCCGCAAGGATTGAAAGATCCGTCCATTGAGCTGCCGATATGCCTCAGCGTCTTCGGGACATTGCAATTGCATCGAGCGTCGTTCTGCCATTAGGTTGAGGGTATAACCAGATAACTTTTGCGGCCTATCTTTACGTCGGGGTCGCAAGAATTTGGATCCCACCGTGTGGACAGTTTTTACCAGCCCGTTATTAATGTCGTCCACAGAGACGCAATGTTCTAGGCAGGCAAAGCGGTTCGTCAGTTCGAGCTGGAAGCTTTCATGGTTTTGAATATGAGCTACAGTGGGTCGGAGCGTGGACTTCATCAGGCGGGATCTTTCTAGTTTGACATTAATATTCAACGTGCCTATGACCATTCGGTGATCGCTTCCGGTCTTTACCCTGTGAATCACAGAGACATCGTTGAATATTTGTCTCTTTGTGGCCATAATAAAGTCAATCTCATTCCGCGTGTAACCGTCGGGGCTCAACCAGGTCCATTTCCTTTGAGGCGGCTTCTTGAAGAAAGAGTTCATCATAAAGAGTCCCTCTTTCTCCAGAAACTCAGCAAGCCTCTGGCCCCTAGGGTTACGCTGCCCATATCCAAATTGCCCCACTCTCAGCTCGTTGTCACCTCTCCTGCCCAGTTTTGCATTAAAGTCCCCCATTACAATGCTAAAGTGTGTTTTGGAAGTATGTATGGCCCTACTAATGTCCTCATACATCACTTCCACTTCGTCATCTGAGTGTGCTGAGGTCGGTGCGTGCTTCTATATTAACACTCTTTAATGATATGAAGGATACTTCGAAAAAGTATGTATAACTAGGCACTTGACATGATTAGTGTCAAGTCAACACTCAATAACTAAACTTCGCGAATGAAAATACGTGAAGTCTAACACCTGGAAGTGATTCCATGACTATACGTTTGCTATTAATCTTTGTAAAAGGTTTTAATACAGGTTTTAATACAGGTTTCAAGAAAGTCAACAAAGTATAACGTGTTAAGTTAAAGCCATAGCAGCAAATGTAGCCGAATTCGTTAAAAAAAATTAATTTAAAAAGCAACTTTCAGAATTACTTTTTATCAAACAAAAACAAAATTTACATTAGTATAAATTGTAGAACTTGTCAATGCCAACGATTTTAATGCGCACAAGCAATTTTCTTTTTCTTTTAGAAGACAAACCTATAAAAAGTAAATTAATGGTTTCCGATATATTCGCTTTGCCAATTAGGATATACAATTAATCTTGTAAGCTGGATTAAACTGAATCGAAATGTAAAACGCATAAATATTTTAAAATTCGAATAACACACTTACCACCAAAATGGATGGAACATTACTTTCATTTTAATATACAACAGTCAACATAATTAAATAGGAATGTTTAAAGCGTAACATAGTCTTAATGTAATAGCCTATACAACTCCTACTGCTGGGCAAATGCCGAGGAGGCTAAGAAGAGTTGTCTTGAATATTACATATTTTTTGGTTGCTTAGAAAATATCTAATTGTATTATATATTAGGGATTACGAACGAATAAGAAAACAAAGCTTTTCACAAGCTTTTAGAACATCTTGGGCTAATTCTTACTAACTACGAAAGTATTCTAATATTGTTTCTCATGTTTTAATTATCAGACAATATTAAAATACTTTTTTAATTAATCTTAAATGTGAGCATGAAAAATAAATTACGCTTCAGCGCAGGAAAACCATGAGTAAGAGATCAAAAGATGTTAAGCATAATTCAATGTGCCCAATCAATATCAATTTATTATTCGCTGAGCAGGCGCACAAAGGTTAAATTGAAAATGATGCAAATAAGATTGTTTTTTGTTCTCTTGCTTTTTGCACCTCTGAAAGAAAATCAATCGATTGACGCTTTATTATAAAGTATAGATAAAGTATCAGGTATTTGTAAATATTCGAATGTTATTTTAAATGATAATTACCAAATAAAATTAGAATTGCATATTATTTTTTTAATTGACTTGAAAAATAATCCCCATTTAAACGGGTAATTCATCAATTTCAAATAAACACTCAAAGCATACAAAGTAAAACCAATGCGCAAATAACGCTACTCTTACATAACGTGAAACTAATTCATACTCACGTGTGTAAAATTTTTACGTATAAAAACCGTTTCCTTAGCAACAAGCGCAACACGTGTTTGGTAACCCGTGGAGAAATATGTTTCACGACACAAAATTTAAATGATTTAAATATATAATAAATATTGGGTGAATTTCGACCCAAATTGATTCAGCAAATATTTGAAGTATTTTTCTTTAATATTAACCCACTAATTTAAGGACAAGGAATTTTCTACAAAATTCCTAACCTTTAAAAATCTGATATTGAATGCTTAATACCTTGAGGATCCAATCCCAGAAGGTGTCGTAGAAGTCCATATTCATGATTTATGAAAACCAAACGCAAAGCATTAGATCCGTCGGAGAAGAAAGCTATCTTATATTTGGCATCGCTTGCAATCAGTATAACTATAAAGTCGTCATTGCTAACCCAAAATTAGATTACATTTACCTTTGCCAAACATCGCCGGAATACTATCAGGAAATCCTCGAGGACGTCGCCTGTCGCCCCAGTAACGTCTTCCAACTCCAGAGACATGGTTATTTATCTAGTTAACGCTAGCAATATAAATTAATTTAAAAAATACAATCACAGACGGTTTTCTTCTTTGGAACTATTTTATCAGATCGTTCATAATACTTTAGCTAACTAATTCGAGTGTGATTTGAGGATGGCACGACGCGTCGTTTGATGCCGCAATCATTCTCGCACTGAGCGACGAACGGAACGAGAACGACTATCAGCTCTGGCTGTTACGTCGGCGTGGTGGGGCACAAAACCGCATGCCGTCAGTTATATGTGGCAGCCGACAGTATCCTCGTACCAATGAACTGAGCGATAAGATAGTGTGTCCGCGATGGAACGTATTCGTTGTCGCCTCGTGCGTGAAGTGGTATGGGGGGAATGGTGGCTGTTAACACGAGTACGATTCAAGTGCACGGGGAATTGTCCTAGACATTTCGAATTGCGAGATGCGAATTATTGCCACTTAATTATGTGTTATACATTGTATGCAAATCAACGGTATATTGGTAGAATGTTAATCTTGATGAAAGTATTCGCTACAAAGGAAATTCTAAGAAGGTTTTGCTGCAGCGCGGTCGATTCATCTTTTGGCCTTGATAATGTATTTAAATTCACTCCAATGACGTATTACGGCATTAAAGAAGTCAATTTAAAAAGCTAAAGAGGTGTTTTGCTTCGAAAACAAAAATTCACATACCTTTGAAAAACATTCAACCTAACATTTAGACTGGCATGATAACGATGTGTCGGAAAACTAGTGATAATAAATAATAATTAAAATCCAATGATAATACATTATAAATTAAGTTGCATAGAAGACATCGTAAGATGTCAATTCGCAAGTGTAAACCCACATGATCGGTACAAATAACAGTAGTTAACATTGTGTTGTTATTATGTGTTGATATGTTTTTTTTTTTTCGACAAAAACTTTGTAATTTCTCTACACACAGTTACAAAAGAAATAGTTTGTACAAATATCAACTTCTCATTTACTTTTTAACATATCTAAACCCATTAAAATGTTTCGGACAAAGTAATGAATCCGTTTTCATTCGTATATTTAGGAGAACGTGTACTGTGAAGGTACAAGGTACTTGATAAAGTATTGCGTAAACCTACTAGCGTTGCAGGTGTGCTATTAGTCAATGAGTTTACAGAAAAAACCTAATGTAATGATTAAATTTCTGTATAAAATATATCGGTTTGAAAAAACTTTAGGCTATACAAATGGTAAGAATTTAGCGCCAACATTTCGAACATGCATGCATACTTGCATCAGATCCTTTGGAAAGTTTGCCACATTTTAGATTGTAAAAAACAAAATATTCACAACATCACCAATTGTGTAACAATAAAGCCAAGCACTAATCGCTACGCCCTTCAATTCCTATCATTCTGCCAAGTAAGCTAAAATGTTGAGGTTCGTATATAACAATATGGAAAGGTACACGATCAAATGCCTTCTTAATAGATAATTAAGATATATTGTAATATCTATAAGCCTTTCTTTTATCGTGATTACGAGTATCCATTCGTATTCATTCGTATTTCATGTACATTGTACACATTTGAGTAAATTTGTTGTGACGGACCGTCCAGGTATATGGAAAGGCAAAATTACTTAACAGCCAAATATTTATTTGATGGTTAAGTAATTTTGCCTATCCAGTGACGATACAAATCCTAATCCCATTTTGTTAATTTGTTTTTCCTTCTGATAAGAGAACTGTTTGTTTTTAAAATGGTCTTTGATAAATATAAGGTAAATTTTTTGTAAATTATTATAATAACGACTATTGTGAATAACATTAAGAGTACTTGCAAGGAATATCGGCTATTTTTCGATATTTAATCTATTCTGTTATTTTTAGCCTACGCGCCGAAATCCGAATATAGAGATATCTACTATTCGACTAAATACCGATAACTAGAGCCAGATGTTTTGCTGTAAACAAATAATTGGATGGTTTTTCTTGTAACGTTTTAAATAATCATAAATTTGCACTTGAAAATTAAAAGTGAAAAATGTACAAAATTAAAAGTGAATGATGTGAAAATAGTACAAAAATATACTGTTTTCTACATTTTTATGAAGTCATCTTCATTGTTCCCGATGTTTGTTCGTACACGCGATAATTTTTAGAGACAGTATATTGCATCTATTCAATGATTTTATATACTACATTATAGAAAACTTATACAACTTAAATTTTGAAGAAATCAATATGCTCTATAGATTGATTTGCTTCAGTACGATGAACTGTGATTTGTTTAAATACAAGCAGCACAACGACTGCATTTGAGCAAACGAGGAACCATTACATCGGTACAAATTTTTCTGTTACTATACGCCGGTCGAATATACCATTCGTCATTCGTGTATATTTCATTTTAGATAGTGGTTTATAAAAATTGGAAACAAATAATGAGTAATAAAATACAATGGCAATATTTTTAAAGGTAGGTTCTGGCCTCCTAAGACCGTATCACTTAAGCCCGATTTCTGAAACACCGATCATCGTAGAAGATAACTAATCAGCTGTCAAATGGGAATTGCCATTTGAGCAAATGTCATTTGAGGATGGATGAACTCCAAAAGGATGGTTAAACTCTTTGAATTGATCAGAATGATCAGTGTTTCAGGAACCGGACGAAAAAAAATCCGTAACGAAAATAACCCCCCTCGGCCTACCATGCAGTTGCGACCGAGCGTTCGCTTAACGTGTAAGTACGACTACGGTATGACTTTACGAAGCTCGCACGGATGGATATTATAATATGATTATATGATATTTTGAGGATATCAAATCTCAAATTAATGTTTCTTATTTCAATACCATAAACCTATAGTTTCAATGATAAAAATTCCTGAATAACCTACCTACATGCAAGATAATAAAAATATTTTAAACGATATTAACTTCTCATTTATTCAATAAAAGAAAAAAAATTGTATTCAGTTCGGTCACCACGCTCAAAAAGTGTAACGCGAATTAATATAAAAAAAACTGCATAAATAATTATAATTGCATAAGTTGATAAAAAATGCTATGCAATAGCTTTATCGCTGTAGTCCCCGAGTGCCACAGCCTTTTTTCTAATATTCGGACACGAAGCTCACAGGATAATCGATATTCGTCGTGCGGCTGAATACTATTCACTGTAAATATATAAATACAGATAAATTAAATTAGTTCACAAATTATTCTTCCATAATTTGGTATAGTTCCTATGAGTTTTTTGTAGGCAGAATACATACATATTTAATATACGAAAAATTGTATGTAGTATCAAATTATCATATTAAATTTAAACATGATTTATACAAATTATCATATTGAATTTAAACATGATGCTAAGTCTCATTATTTTTTACTTTTTATATTTATTTTCGACTATATGTATGTATACTTTATATATTGATCTATAAGTTCTAACCCATATCAACCGTCAGCAAACTCAACGAGAAGTAGGTACATATCTAGTGGAATCCAACCAGCAACCAGAAATTATTGACCGAGCCAACCAACACAATTTAGTGAAGACCTCTAAATGTTAATTGGCAAATCGTCCTTTGTGTTCCTTCGCACTTGTAGATGTAGAATTTCAAATTTATTTTCTATCTTGATGATATTTCAAAGTTATAAGATAAATAATTTAAAAATCTATTTTCTAGGGTTCCGTACCCAAATATTATACTCCTATTACTAAGTCTCCGCTGTGAAACCAGGCATCATCTCATCCGTCTCGTTCGTTTATTTAAATTAAAACATTATATGTTTTAAGATATTTGTTGTATCAGTGTGTTAGTTGTTGATTAATAACTTATTTTTAATTGACCGTAAATCTAATCGAGACTAATTATCAAAATGCGTGTAAATATTTTGGTGGCATTTAAAAATCAATTCCGTAAAGTTTTCTATCGTCGTTCCTAATAGGATTTTAATGATCTTACTTGGGAATAACGACTTAGATTTTATCTTTGAGATTTCACCTAATCATGGGAACAAAAAAGTACTGGTAACAAAAATGTTCTTGATGATTTCAGCTTCACGACATTCATCTTCATTGATCTAAGTCTGTACATAAACAGGATTTATCTATATTTTCATGGTGAATTAATATTATTATCTTCATCAATTGCAGTTACATAACGATAACCTTAAATCTTCTTTTGGCACGGATCATTCATCATCATAAAAAAATATATAGTGAAACCCGAATGAAATCTCTTCAATGCTGAATAGCGGTGTGCCATTTTAGTACGTATAAGCGATGCATTGAACCAATATTTAATTTAATAAAATATAACAGAAGATTTAAGAAAATCATTCGTTTCGACTCGTCAGATGTTGGTCTATACATTATTAGGCATTCAGCCAAACTTTGTCACGAACTAGCTAAATCCGGATCGTTGAAAACTGGCGTTATCTTTTGGGGCAAAAAGATAAAAATAACATGAATACCCAATGACGCTTTTTTGATTGTTCAATTTACTATACAATTAATGTTGTGTAGGTACTATATCGAATAGCATTTAAATAGCCGGGAAAGTTTAAGGTGATAGAAAATCATAAAAAATTAGGCCGGAAACACTGGTGAATGAGTTCTTCACTTGTTGCGTGTGTTTGTGTTCAACGTGAATTTATTGGCCAAAAATTAGGTCAGCTGGCGTCTACGATGACGTAAAATATCAAAGGCGGATAAGCATCAACAAAACGTACGAGAAGACACGAGATGAAGCCAAGACCGTACCAGTTAATTAAATTTATATGAACAGTTATTCAAGTGTTATAAATGGAAAACACCTGCCACTACCTAATCAGTAAATTGGACGACTATTACCATCTATTAAAAACAATTTAAAGAAATAATTCGACTTTATTCATTATATTAGACTTTGATTTTGATTTATGTTAAGATTAGAAGTCTTGAAATGAACGAGCGTCCAATGTAACTTGTGATTGTATTTATTGTGATGTATTTATTCGGTCGGTTCAAATAATCTC